ACCCTAACCCTAACCCTAACCCTAACCCTAACCCTAACCCTAACCCTAACCCTAACCCTAACCCTAACCCTAACCCTAACCCTAACCCTAATCTTGTATTATAGCTAGATTACTTTCTATATTAGAGGGCGTATCTTTAGTTCTTAATAGATAAAGTCTTAATATATAGGTTATAATCTCCGCAAAGGATTTATAGTATCTAGCTTTAGAGGGTTTAGTTAGAAGCTTAAAACTTCTAAAGTTATCTTCCTTTAAATTAATATTTTCTGTGTGTAATTGTTGTAGATATCTTCTACTAAAACTATTTACTATGTTCTCCGAATTATAGAGACATTTAATAGTAGATTTATAGGCTTTATCTAGTATATTAAAGTCCTCTTTATCTTTATCTAAGTCGGGTTTAGATATAAGTTTAGTATATATATTAAGGTCTCTATTATATAAATACTCGTGGAAATAAGTCTTTTCTAAGAAGCTATTAATCTCTTTATCTTCTAGATTAGAGTTACTAATAGTCTTAGCTTTTAACCTCTCCTCTATATTATTATAGTTATTAAGAATGTCTTTTATAACTTTAGGCCTTGGAGCGGATTCTATATTAAGTACACTATTATTAGTTTTAATAGCAAAATACTGCCTACTACCTTGCCCTTTATAGAAGGTTTGTATAGGTTGATTCTCTAAATAATAGGGCTTTAATTCTATATTACTTGTACTCTTAGCCTTAATATTATGTATTCGATTTAAATGTAGCCTAATACTTTTATTACTAGTACCTGCATATTTATTACATACTTTACATGTAAAGCCAAGTATATCTCTTTCTAAATCCTTAAAATTATACTTAAAGAAAGTAGGGAGAGCTATATCTCTACGTTCTTTAATATCTAAACTTTCTATTAAGTAAAGTAAATTTTCTATATCGTATTTAGAAGATCCTTTATGATATTTTGTAATATGTCCTTTAATATATGTCTTTTTATTACTTTCTAGACCCATTTGGCAGGTACTACAAATAAGGATACTAAATTCTAAGTTATATTTAAATCCGAGAGGTAAATCGTCTACTTTAGTATAAATATTATTATTATTAGAGGTAGTAGAAGTAGATAGAGACATGTTCTTTAGTCTACGTAATATATTAGTATATATTTAAATTAAGGTAGATTAAAGTTACTTACTTGGTTATTTTTTTATTTAGGATTTTATAGTTCTTTTATAGAAAATTATATAGAAGAGATTAAGCTTGAGATTCTTTACTAGACGTATTTTCTTAAGAGAATTACTCTTTATAGATAGTCTAAATAGATAGATAGATAGATAGATAGATAGATAGATAGATAGATAGAGAGTAAAATAGTATTTAGTTATAGTATAGTAAGTAGTTTAGAGGCGTAGCTTAAGTAAAGGTCTTTATCTTAGTAAGAGTAGAGGTAATAGACTATTAACTAAAACTTAGTAGACAAAGAAGAAAAGTAAGAGGAAGATAGAAAAGAGAGGGTCTTATATAGATAATAAGTAGCTAGATTAGCTAGTTCTATTTCCTTAGATAGTTATTATAATTACTTAGCTTTTAGAATATTAATTAGCTACTCTAGCTTAAGAATACTAATAGTTATTAAGCTACCTCGACTTAGTCTAGTACTGCTTATTTATATTAATATCCATAACTTTAGCTACTAGACTACTTTTCTTTAGTCTAGTATTACTTATTTCTATTAATATATATAGCTCTAGTTACTAGGCTAGTTTTACTTAGTCTAGTGTAGCTAATTTATATTAATATATATAGTTTTAGCTACTAGGTTGTTATTCTTTAGTCTAGTACTACTTATATTAATACATCTAATTTTAACTATTATACTATTCTTACTTAGTCTAGTATTACTTATTTCTATTAGTATATATAGCTCTAGTTACTAGTCTAGTCTTACTTATTCTAGTATAGTTAATTTATATTAATATATATAGTTTTAGTTACTAGACTATTCTTCTTTAGTCTAGTACTACTTATTTATACTAATATATATAAATTTAGCTACTAGGTTGTTCTTACTTAGTTTAGTGTAACTAATTTTTATTAATATATTTCTTTTTAACTATAATACTATTATTACTTAGTCTAGTACTACTAATATATATTAAATTAGACTATTTTAGCTAGTAAGCTACTCTTCTTTAGTCTAGTACTATTAATTTGAGTTAATATATATAATTTTAGTTACTCTATTACTTTAATCTAGACTAGTATAACTAATTTATATTAAAGTAAATTATTTTAGCTACTAGGTTACTTTTCTTTCCTCTAGACCTACTAGTTAATATCTATATATATAGTTTAAGTTACTAAACTACCTTTATATAGCCTAGTATTACTAGTATAAACTAAACTATACCTAGTCTAGTATTATTAATAGTATATACTTCTAATTAATATACTATCTTTATATACTTTAATACTACTAAGCTTAGATAGTATTAATTAATATATTACTTTAACCTAGTCTAGCTTTACTAATTGTATTAATTATTATTATCACTATACCTCTACTTAGACTAGTATTACTATTTATATAAAGTTTAGAATATTACTATACTTTTAATTTAACTAGTATCTCTAAATAATATATTTTAGCTACTAAGCTATTCTTAGATAAGTCTAGCGCTATTTCTATACACTAATATATACGTAGTCTAGTACTATAAGCTATAATAATCTAATTAGCTTAATAGAATATAGCGCTAATTTAACTTACTTTAGAATAGTATATTAATATATCTTAATACTACTCTTAGATATATATTACTTATTATCCTCTCTTATTATTATTAATAGAGGATATATTCTATATTACCCTCTACTCTAGTACTAATTAAATGTATTACTATCTAATTAATTTCTCTTATTACTATTCTTAGGGGTGTTATTTATTCGCTTACCTTAATATAATTAAAATAGCTTATATACTTTAATAAAGATGAATACTATTATCTAGGAATATTCTATCTAAAGCTCCTAGTAATAGTATTAATGAAGTTAATAAAGACTATATAAATAAAAGACTACTATTTTAGTAGTTTATAGAATTATACTACGTGTTTTCTAAGGAAAATACCTTCTAAAATTAGTTTTTTGTATAATATATTCTATTATAGTGAATTTAGTATCTAGAATTAGTAAGGTACCTAAAGCACCCCCTAGATACTCTATTTTCCAAGTAAAAAAGCTATTTTCCAAATACTTTTCCATTTTCCAAGGAATTAGAACCCCGGAAAATCGGCTCGGAAAATCGCGATTTTCCGGGGACACTCGAATTACCGATTGCTGGGTTAGCAGGGACTATTTCTAGGGAATTAGGAATATCTTTCTCGATCTTACTACTAATAATAGTTTACTAGATCTATGCACTTTAGCTTTTTGTAGCTAGTAGTATAGTCTAAAATATAAGATACTCGGAAACTTCTATAGTAGTAGTTATCTACTCTAAAATTCCTATATTTATTAGCTATAAGCTAAAAATAGGTATAGTATATTGTTAGCACTATAGCTAGTAGTATAGCTAGATGTAAGAGTTATTATATATTAACGAAATAAATCTTTCTAGGTTATCTAGGCGGAAAAGCTATACGGAATTAGTATATAAGGGACTATAATCTCTCTCTTAAATCCCCTAGCTATTAGGAATAGCTTGTATAACTAGATTTACTCAAAATTGTGCTTATAGACACAGTCTAATTCTCTAGTTATATTACTAGACTAGTCTACAAGCCTTATCTTCAATATACATTTCACTACCGTCGCCCTCGTAGCACTTCTTAGCCTGGCTGCTACCGCCCCAGTCGCCGATCTAGAGCCCCAAGTAGTTCCCAGCAGCGAAGATATCAGAATTGAGAGCATTAACTATGCTGGCACCGGTTGTCTAGCTAGTAGTGTTGCCACCTCGCTAACTGACGACAAGACGCTTCTGACGCTGGCTTTTGACAAGTACACTGCGCAGAGCGGCCCTTACATCTAGCCTGTCGAGAACCGCAAGAACTACCAGCTTACTTTGAAGCTGAAGTACCCCCATGGCTTCCAGTACTCCATTTTCACGGCCGACTACTGTGGCTTCGCTGCTATTAAGAAGGGCTCAACTGGCACTTGCAAGTCGACCTATTACTTCTCTGGTATGCAGCAGCAGGTAAGCCGCACCTTTGACGTCCACTCAGCTATGGCTTTTGCCCTTCAATCTGTATGTGTATAGGAATTGAATAGTGACAATCTCGGCACAGGCCTCCCTTGCAACCGAGTTCAAGGGCCCCTTCGAGGACGACTACCTTAAGCACGACGAGCTGGACGTGGTCTCGATGGTGTGGTCTCTATGCGGCTAGCAGGGCATGCTCAACATAAATAGCCAAGTGCGTGTCACGCCCATCGGCAGCGACAGCGCGAACCTCCTCACGGTCGACTCGACTGACCTCAAGTTTAAGAACATCTTCGGCCTCAAGTGGCGCAAGTGCCCGGGCAAGTAAATGTGCATAGAAGGGGCGTTAACGGCTTGGAGATTGCTTAAATAGCACCTGTTCGTTTTCCTCCGCTGTCCCACGTTAAGTCTCGGTTTCCTACCCTTTCGACTAGGCACCTGGTTTCCGTCCTTACCTTGAATTTGGCTGTTAAAAAGGTTTCTTGAGACCCGCGTAAGGGCCCCGGCTTTGCGCAGCAGCCTGCCACGCACTTCTTTCGAGCTTGCTCGTATATTCTTTGTGTCCTTCGGCTTATCGGTGGTACTATTCTATACCGGGCAGAATTCCAATGTCAAGGTGCATATAGAATACCACTGAAGAACATGTTGTAATATAGTTCAAACAGACTATTACCAACGCGTGTGGTCTCTGTGCAATCTTCCATACTTTCTGTGATAGCGATGCGAGAAATAAGAAGAACATCTCTTAATCCGTAACATCACGCCCACACGCATACGTGTAATGGAGATGGCTGCCCCTAAATTACCTGCTTGGCGACGGGCGGCACGTCCCGCGCACGGGCACCCGCTACTGTCGCTTGCAAAATGTTCGTCCGGTTTGCGAGCGAACTTCATCCAACCAAACCACCCTCTATTCAAAACGCCTTACATGGAGGTTTACGTAATGCGCATGCACCCCGCAGTCTGCCCGAGTCTGCCGCTTCTAACGACCAAAGTAAATTGTGCAAGTTGTGGATCTTTGGAGCTCGTATTCACCCGAGTTGCTTATTTCTCATTTCATGATGAGCATGCCTAATACGATACTGCGCGGTCGGCTGCTTAACAGATCGATGTCTCTTACGTACATGGAGGCTACCTTTAGAAGGTTGTATAGCAGAGAAAGGCATGTCTAAGTAGCGTGCTTCTCGTCAACAAACTTATGCATGTCGACAGAAGCATCTCCAGAAAGCCAATCTGGTCATCTGAGCTCAGCCGCATCATACCGATGTTCCTTCAAATCATCTAAGGCAAGCGTGTTGTAGAAATCGGCGATGCGCTTATAATCGTATACCTCCCGTATTACTCTACCCCGGCAGCTGATTGCCAGCTGAAAACTCAAGAACGGTGAGTACACGAGGAGCCTGCCGCACTAATGCGGCTGCCTCAATAAGGCCAAATCGGCGTTCCAGGTAAGGATGATGTAAGCGACTGATTGCTCACTAGAAGGAACCTGCCCAGCTCAGCAGGACCTGTATATTAGAGAAGCTTCTGTGCAACCACCGCTCTTTCGTCTTCTCTCCCGTCTTACCACCGGCGACTTATTTAACAACGTCCGATACTCCAAAACCAAACTTCGCTCTCATCAGTTTTCCTGATAGTGATCTGCCTTACAACATTCCACAGCACAGACTGGACTCCATCAGGCCTATAAAAGCGACAACTCGAACATCGAATTTCTCTGACAGCCATCATGCGTCTCTACACGATCCTTAATATTCTCGTACTTGGCGCCTTCGCCACAGCCACCAGCGGTATGTTCTCCTATCGCTTCGCATTTCGTTGCTCCTTAGTGCAATAGATACTCAAGGCAGATTGTGGATTACCTCTCCTCTACAGCCACAGCTATAGCACTGCTCGGGCTGCTGATAAGGCTTTATTGAGCACTTTATGTTCGCCTAACTTGTATCCACAACCACCCACAAGGGCATCTTCGATCATTCGACTAGTCAGTCGGACACAATTTGACAGCCACGCTGACCTAACACTTACGCCACAGTCTCATATGACCCCGGCTATGATAATGCTATGCGCTCCATGTCCGTCGTGGCCTGCTCTGACGGCGCCAACGGTCTCATAACCCGTTACGGCTGGAACGTGCAAGGCGACTACGGAGGTTTCCCGTACATTGGCGGAAGCGGTACTGTTACTGGCTGGAACTCTCCAAACGTGTGTATCTTTGGAGCACTGCCTCCATTCTTCTCTACATACCTTATTATATTCGTAAACAAGCTGTACCTGTGCGCACGCTGACACTCCTGGGGTTGCCAGTGCGGCAAGTGCTACACGCTCACGTACAGGGGCAAGACGATTCATGTCCTTGCTGTCGATCACGCGGGGACTGGGTTCAACATCGCGATGGCAGCCATGAACGATTTGACCAACGGCCATGCGTACGAACTTGGAAGGATTGAGGCACAAAGTGCGGAAGTGCCAGTTAGCGAATGTGGCTTATAGTCCGTAGCTTGGGTTTGCAGCTGCCGGGGTGCCTTGATTGAGCTGTGATGATGTCTTGTGTATTTATGGACGGCGTGTCGGGTCGTGTTTTTAGTCATTCTCGGACGTGATTGTTGATGTGCGCCAGTGTGCAAAGCGTATGCTTTTCGAAAATCCGCGCCAGCAGCTTGGATTTCGTATTTCATAGCAAGACAGCCTGGATGCTGTGGCTTTATCACCTTTGCTACTCTCTCGCTTGCTCTGTTCATTCATTGAAACTGGATCACATGTGGCAGGAATCATTTATTGATCGAAGCCATAGAACTCTACGAAGTCTGCCGGGCCAACCTCGACCGAGTGCAACAGTGACATCTATCTGGACCTCTCATGCGCTCTAGACGGCCGAATCCTCTACAAACACGCGGTCTGACTTCTCGCTATACAAGCCATCCTCCTTCTCTTGCGCCTTCTGGATCTGCGTTTCGAGCTGTGCCACCCGCTTCTCGAACTCCTTCTCCTCGTTCCAGGTGAACAAACTCTTGCTAGCAAACAAAAAGTCAATCGATTCTAGACTGCGCCCGGCGGTCTCGGGGAAGAAGCAGTAAATGATTGGGATGTAAGCAAGCATTGCCGCTCCAAACACGTAGAAGGTCTTCTCGCCAATGCCAGCAAACATGATCGGGACAAGCAGTGAACCGCCGCCAAAGCCGATTGCCCAGCCCGCGACGCCGAACGCGTTGCCCTTTGCCCGCAACCAGGTTGGGAATATTTCTGTTGGGTAGATGAAGGGGATCATAAGCCACGAGGAGCTGAAGACCAGAATGTACACGAAAACCATGGACGCCGCTGCTGTTCCGTATATCTCTGATTGGGCGGGATTGTTGAGTGCACCACGGTACAAGCCACCGATGGTGAAGAGGATGATGCTGAGGACGACGGCACCCCAGTAGAGTGTCCGCCTACGGCCGACTCGATCGAGGGTAAACGCCGCAATAGCCGTGCCGAGGATGCCTACCATCATGCTGAGTGCTGACAGCCAGTTCGACTTCAAGTCGTCGAAGCCCGCCGTGCGGTAGATGGTGCCGGAGTAGATTACCACGGCTGCTATACCGGTTCCGTATTGCATAAGCACCTGGAGCCAGAATGCGAGCTGGATTCTCCGACCAAGATGAATGTCCCCTGACCCAATGCCGAGGAACATCTTGACGTAGTTGGTACTCTGCGATTCCTGCTCCATTTGCATGACCGTGATGATCTCTCTGTACTCGTGCTGGACGTCTGGATGCTCAGGGTCGCCGTCACCTCTGATCTTCGCGATAATCTCAAAGGCTTCTTCTTTTCTGCCCGCCTTTACAAGCCATCGTGGCGACTCGGGGATAAGTAGAGTGCCGGCGATGAGAATGAAGAGTGGGATGGCTTGCATGGCGAAGCAGAAGCGCCATCTAAATGCGCCGCCGGCGTACTCGGTGAACGATGTACCAAAGCCGATCCACGATGATAAGGCGATTCCGGAAAAGTTGGCGAGGAAGGTGAGCGCAATCATTTTACCTCTGTGGGCGGCCGGTGCAAGCTCCGCTGTCCACGCAGGCGCGATGACTATGATGAAAGCGACACCGACGCCAGCGACGATTCGGGCACAAAGCATATGCGCTAGGTTAACAGCGGATGCCTGTAGAATGACACCGCACATGCACCAGAAGCATGCCATCCAAATGCCCTTGATACCTAGCAAAGTCAGTCTTGTACCGGGGCTGCAGGATGTGTCACTTACGGCCATAGGAGTCCGAAAAAGCACCAGCCCAGAAGGCACCGAGAAGTGCACCGGCGTAGTATATTGCGACGATTCCTCCTTGTAAGGACGGTTTGATGACAGTGCCATCGGCATCTGCAAAACCCATTCGGCGCTGCCAAGTTGTCAGTCAATGCGTGTATGACTGAGGGAATTGCCACGAACCCCGTATTCAGGAGCAACGTTTACTGCGCCCATGACTCCCTGGCTCATGCCTTCGTAGGAGATGGCCATGGCCGACACGGCGGTGATGAGTTTGAGCAGCTTTGGCCCGGAGAGTCTTCGCCAGTATCCGCGATCCATTGTGAGGAAGTTTGGTAAGATTGTGAATAACTGCTCGTTGCGGTGTGATCAGGTATAGAAACCTCTGCCTTGGACCTCGCATCGTGAGGTCTGCGGTCCGCTTTATAGGCGGAAGCTCGCGCATTGCAGCACTGTTGATTCCGTGGAGAGTCTGGGGCCCCGCATGGTTGGGACGGCTGTAGGTTCAGAGGGTTATTCCCGATGGGGTGGAACTTGATCCTCACGGGTGTTTCCGTCTTGCAGCGGGAACGGGCAACCTCCGAAAGCGTGGACAGTTCGTCACGAATTACTTGTTGAGGATGGGCTTCGTTCGGATCCGCGGAACCGAGGTGGCAAGCTTCTCATCCGGCGGATAGCCGTTCATCCTTCCCCGCCAAAGCCCCGCAACGCCCCGACATCCTGGCAACAACCTAACCGTCACGATACACAAGTTCGTCTCCATCTCTCGTGTCGAAGCCCTTCAAACGACACTCGTGTGCCGGAGACAGATTATGGGAAAGCTTCGTTCGAAAGACGGGTGGTCGGTGATCCCACGATGCCAGACGCTCAGCGCTAACCAATCCTGTAAAGCTTGACTTGTCGGGCCCGTCATGTGAAGTGTGAGTCGAACGGATGAAGGCTAAACGTTCCGACTGATGGGGATGAAGGCGACGAAGTGCGGCCTATCTGCGGTCAGTGTAGGAAACGCAGTCGACTTTGCCAACGAGATGACCATCCCGGGATCAGCATCAGGAATTATCTCCCGCAGGAACGTCGAAGAGTTTCCACTCATCGCGAGGTTTCCGAGGGAGCTCTGCAGTCGATGATCCAGAGACGGAACGGCGTCGTGCAATCAACCAGCTTTGGAGTAGATTCGCCTCTCATCATACCCAATGAATCCCGCACTGCATCGGGAAATGCTTCTCTACCTTCTGCAGAGGACTCATATGTGTCACCATATACTGTACCTAGCGATATCCAAACAGCGATATCGCCCACAGCCACCAACTCCCCATTCTACGACGGAGCGGCAGTTTCGATTGCCCAGCTGCCTCAGCCAGACTCTCGCTCACCCGGTCGCGATGAGTCGAGCCGATGGACACTTGCCTCGCCCACCGCATCCGTTGCCACGACACTGACTTTTCACGAGGCCTATCTAGTGCGCCATTATTCAATGCATCTGGGACGCTGGCTCGACTGTACAGATGCTTCCCGACAATTTACGTTGAAGATTCCTGCATTGGTCAAGACATCACCAATATTGCTTCATGCCGTAATCTCGTTTGCCGCGAGACACCTTGGGGACAATGATGCGGCTCAGCAGGCTCATGACCGATGTATAGAGCTGCTCATTCCACTGCTAAACTCAGACAGTGTCGCTAATGACGACTTGCTGCTTTGTGCAATTGTCATCCTCAGAGTCTTCGAACAGCTCAATGGTGAGCAAAACCACCCTCGAATTACTTGTATACAGTTCTAAATTTCCGTCATAGTCACGGTCACAGGCAGCGATCAAGAGCGCCACCTTGCCGGCTGCTTAGCTCTGCTGCGTGCCTCTCAAGGACGGGAGGTCGATCCGTCGGCACCCGGACTCCGACAGGCTGCATTTTGGGTCTACATGCGCCAATGCCTCTACAACGCCTGTGTCAACCAGCAGCCGCCCAATGTCGATCTCAACATCATCTTGAGCCCTATTCCCGCTGGAAGCGACCCAATAGGCGACCTTAGGCGCGAGACCGCGTGGGCTAATACGATGACTTGGATCTGCGCCACTATCATCCAGTTCTGTTTCGGTTCTGGATTCCAGGAGCCATGTGGAAGGATGAAGAAATGGGAAGAATTTTCGGATGCCGTGGAGAGCTGGATGAGAAACAGACCGGGCACATTCGACCCTATCTGGTGCAGCGATCCTGTGGTTGGTAGCAGTAACCCTTTCCCGGAGTTTTGGTTCACTGCCGATTGGCATGGTGTGTATATCCTTGTAGGCCATTTTGTTTTACCCCTGGCTTATGGTAATAGTGATGGCGTTTGGGTTTTACCATCTGGCATGTATGCTGTTGATCATATACAAACCGACCCCGAAGTTTGCCGTCAGGAGTGTTCGTGCCAGTCCAAGGGAAACCGACGTGCGTCTTTCCTCCTTCAGCCTAGTATACAAGCATCTGACGCGTAAAAGATACAAATCATGTCGCATGCGCGAGCGATCTGTGGAGTGGCGCCTTCTACAGTGCCCTCACTGATAACCCTGTGCCACACCGTTTTTATATGTAAGCGGGAGTGTTGAGTGTTGTAGAGTCCATCACTAATGAGGGCAGGGGGCCCGCTGATGACAGACCAGGCCGAAAGGAACGGTGTGATTGTGTTGCTGGAGGGTACGGAGAAAGCTCACGCGTGGCCAACAGCCTGGATCATTAACTCGCTAAAAGAGGAGTGGACCATAGAATGAATAACTCCGTCTATCTAAACAGATGAATTGACTACAGAGCGTACAGTTGGATGGAACTACGTCCTTATTCCCCGTCGCTGAACGAGACGACCGCGTACTTTCCGTTCCTGATCCATGCCCCTTGGGGTGCTTCCTCATACAAAGCATCCACCCTGCTTTGGCTGTCAATCCCAACGCAAACATCCGCCTTGTTCGTTCTCAGCGCGAGGATCTTCAGCCCGCTCTTGGCACCAAGTGGACCAAGGGCATCCTTGAATGGCGTGGTGTGTGGCCATAAGCCGTCTTTCACGAGCTTGCGATAGTTCAGGTCCCCTTTGAAGATGATAAGGCTACTAGCTTTGAGGTCTTCGACAAGATCAGGCGCTTGCGAGTGCATCTTGTGAAAAGAGCACCCTGCCGTCCAGAATGGATGTTGGATGACGGTGAGAGCGCCCGAGTCGAAGTGCTTGCTAAGTCTCCGGAGCAGCCGATCGAGATACTCGCGGTTGGGAAATATTTCCGGCGACTGCAAATGGGAGAACAGCGAATCTACATCCGCAGGCGTTACGTCGCTGACGAACCATGGGAAGTCTTTAACGTGAAACCTGATAGAAGACGCAAGTCCGCTTTCGAGCAGATAAGAAGCGTACAGCACATCCGTGAAGAATTCGAAGCCAGCATTGTCCAAGACGATATCGATTCTGCGGCTCGACCTTGGCGTATGCATAAGATACATCCAGACTTGGTCCGTATCGTTGTCTACAATGTTGCGTTGGGACTTTGCGATGGCTTCCCGTCCCTGGAGGCTTTGTATCTGTTCCAAGCTAAGGTTGCTCAGGAGCGACAGATCCGTGGCGTTTCCCCATAGAGCAATCTCGGTCATCTCTACGAAGAGGAGCTTCTTTGCTTCATCATCCGTGACTCCATCCGCCGCGAGGCTCGAGTCGGTAATAATGTGCATGTACCGACTTGCGAGCTCCTCGACTGCTGCTCGTGACTTGGCGAATGTTGAGTCTTTCTGTCGTTTGAAGACATCGTAAGTCTGCCAATGCCTCGACCTCGCGAAGATTGTTTGTATGCGCCTAAGAGCGGTGAGCTGAAGCAACCCTCGAGTTTCCCAAGAAGATTCATACCTGTAAAGATAGCATTCACAAAACAGCCACGGGGCAGCATTCCAGGTGACTTTATCGCCCAAATAAGCTAATCGCGTGTTGTACCCTTCAATGTCACCTCCTCCGTCTGCTGGAAGACGCCTATCCCACGTTAGCACTTTCACAACAGATTTTCTATGCAGAGAGGTGACATACGATAAGGTTTTGTTCTGTAGCATCTCATCCTTCATTTCCTTGAGTGCGGATTGGATCGCGAACCTCTCCTCTTGTTGTGCAGCGCAACTCGATTGTGCAGCGGTTTGCCTAACGTCATCGATCGTACCTTGGACAATCTTTGGCCACCGCGTAGTCGCCGTTTGCTTCGCCATGGTGTCGTCGTCGGATGTCCATACTTGCTTGACCTGATCTGCGGGACTGATTGAGGAGGGCATTTTCACGGTGTATGAATGCTGAATGTCGCGGAGGAGCAGCAGCCGCTTTAAATGTCTCAGAGACGTTTAGGTGAGAACACTCATCTCAAGAAGTGCCGCAAGGATGGTGTTGTGGAGAGTGGTGGAATTGCTCAATGCAATTACTCGTCTGAACAGTATCGGGACCCTTATTTCCTTCCTTTCTCCAAGCCGCAGCTCCCCGATCACGGCCAAGAGAAGGCTAAAACGGTAAGACGGCCTGCAATCCGGAGATCAGCTACGAGTAAGGTAGCCGAGGGGTTCCCCGCGTTGAGACGAGACGTCGCCGCGAGGTTGATCTCGAGCCGAACTTGAATCTCGGCACGAAACTCGGCACGAAACTCGGCACGAACTCTGGCTTCGACCCGAGCGCATATTCGCCACGAAAATGTGTACTAGACTAACAGACAGTGCTTACGGGGGCTCTTAATGAGGGAGGAGGGAAGGATATATATCAATATGGATTTCGCAACTCGAACTCGTGTCATTATCGGTATCAACCATGGTGTCCGCGACGTATCCTGACAGCACAAACGGCCATGCCTATGGACACGCCTCCAATGGGGTTCATGCAAATGGCCTCAGCAGTGGTGTTCACCGCAGAGCAGACGGATCTCTGGACGTCAGAGTACTGGGATTGAACAGTGGCACTGCAATGGATGGCATCGATTGCGCCCTAGTGCATTACCGGCAGTCGTCGCCTACGGCGCCACTGCATATGAATATACTCAAGGTGAGATCCGCTGAGTGCATCCACCCTAAACGTCTTATCTGACCTTGGCCAGTATGACGAGATACCTGTGCCGCAATGGATCAAGAAACCCGTCCTCAAGATGCTTCGCGAAACAAAAACGACACCGTCTCTTATGTCTCAGCTCAACGTTCAGCTGGGTGTCATGTTCGGCGAGGCCGTTAAAATCTTTTGCGACAAGCACGACATCGCTATGGATAGTATCGACCTCATCGGATCACATGGGCAGACAATCTGGCTTCTCTCGATGCCCAAAGAGGGAGAAACGCAGTCGGCCTTTTGTCTGGGTGAAGGCACCGTCATTTCCGCCATGACTGGCATAACGACAGTCACCGATTTCAGAATGGCGGAGCAAGCTGTTGGTCGCCAAGGAGCCCCTCTGGTGGCTCTCATTGACGGTCTCCTTCTCCATCACCCGACGAAGCTTCGAGTGTGCCAGAACATTGGCGGTATAGCCAACCTCTGCATTATACCTCCAGACTCTGAGGGCGGTGTTGATGCTATGATCGATTGGGATTGCGGACCAGGCAATATGTTTATCGATGCAGCAATGCGATACTTCACCAATGGGAAGATGGAGTACGATAAAGACGGCGAATGGGGGGCACGCGGTACAGTCAGCCAAAGCGTTGTTGATCGCTTCTTGAGAGACAACGCATATGTCAATCACCCACCGCCCAAAACGACGGGTCGAGAGACGTTCGGAGACGGGGAAGCACAGCAGCTGATTGACGAGTGTTTGTCGTTGGGGCTCAGCAAATATGACACCCTTGCCACCATCACCCGGATCACGGCACAGAACATCGTCAAGCAATACCGTACATTCTTCCCGCGGCATAACAAGATCGGCGAGATCTTCATGTGCGGAGGCGGTGCGAGAAACCCCAACATCATCAATTATCTGCGGCAGGAACTTCCCAACACCCGAATCCTGAAGTTGGACGAGACCGGGGTGCCTTCCGATGCCAAGGAAGCAGTGTCCTTTGCTCAACAAGCGCTGGAAGCTATCCTTGGAAGAGCTGCTTTAGTTCCGATCAACAGCGACACACTGACGCCGAACACCATCTCCGGCAAGATCGCGCCTGGTCTGAGATGGAGAGAGATCATGTTTCAAGCTATCAACTTCGGACGTGGTGAGCCTCTGCCGACGGTCAAGGAGATGGTGGTTGACAGGAAGTACACTGATTGGAAACCTTGATGTTCTGGATTTTCAGGTTCTGATCGGCCATCTACCTTGGGTCGATATTGGTGTTTCGCGGCCTCTACCTTTTCATCAAGGTCTTGAATATCTAGGTTTGCTGTTGTTTGCGTTGGCTGCCTCTACTGTGCACAGCCGCGCAAGTAATCCAAGCAACCATGCTAGGTAGCCGCTAGGTAGCTGGACTATTATGTGAGGAGTTCTGGGCTGGAGTTAGTGTTTAGATAAGACAGGCAACCTTTCTACGTTAACTAGTGCTTCGAATATACACATTATTTGTCTAATGTCAAAGCATTCTCTAATATCCGAAACGTTACAAAAAAATACGAGTCAACAAGATCGCAGTTGTGAAACATTTAACCAAACTCACATCTGTTCAGGCTTTCTGCCAACAGTAATGAAGATATCCAATCTCAGATACGCACCCCGTTCAATCTCGCTGATTACTTTTCTCCTCTCTTCCATCACTTTCTCGTCAGACCAATCAAGCATCCCACTGTTGATGCACTGTTTCAAACAGGATACGAAGCCGGCACTAGCTACGCGGCTATATTCCGCTCGGGTCTCTGGCAATCTGTCTGTGCTGAGAATGTCTTCGGTGATGTCGGTGAGGCCCTGAGATTCGAAAAGTGAAACACGGCGGAGGTAGCCATCATTCAGACGACCGAGCTGACCAAGGAGCTGGAACGCGAGTTTCCCGGACCTTTCTATTGCCGTCGTTGAGGTATCTGGGTGGGTTCGTAGAGGTCGTTGGAGCTGGAACAGGTTTGCTTCCAACGGTGTCAGAACCTCATATCCTATCCCATTAGAACAACCGCGATACCTTCATTCCACTGGAGGAATCCACCCGGCTCTAGGAGGTGATAAAGTTAGCGTTGTGTATCTTCAGGCTACTTGAGAAAACAATAGAAGCGGGGACTTGCTCAACAGAGCCACAGCGTTCTTTGTGACCACTTCCCAATCCTCCACCTTCGTCAACGCTAGCCATAGCAACCTAATGTGTACTAGGTCATATCGACCTAAATGGTCTTGGGAGAAAGGGGTTTTGGCGTTATGCACATGAAGAGACACGTTCTTGGGCAGGCTTGACCCGTCACGGAAGCCTGCAGAGGAGATATCGAAACCCTGTAAGACGCAAGAAGGAGGCAATTCTTTCGCGACATCACAGAGCCAGATCCTGCTCCCTTCAGTCACTTTTGCATGTTCTTTCGAACCGACTGTACTAACCCTGTGCCCGTAGCTATCTCTGCGATCCGAGATGCTCCGTTCATGTGCTGTGCTACGGTAGGGTGTATGTGGTAGCCACAATTTCTATTTCAAAATCAGCTAAGGTAGCCTACTTTGTTGGCCGAATAATACTTGTCCCAAAGCTCATGTTGTTTCTCAAGGCTGGAAAGAGTAAGCTTGCGTGATAAGCAAGGAAGTATATCTTAAGTAGAGAACCGTTTGAACTCGTCTTCCTCATATCCAAGTGTATAGTAGTCGGCGCTCGGCATGATCTCGAGTTCTCTAAAGTTGTCCACCGTTATAAGATTGTGTAAGAGTGGTAGTCTTCATTTGACAGATGTGAAATGCATACTGGAAGAAGAGGTGTCTTGTTCAATCCGTCTTCATATTATTGAGAGTTTATGCGGGGTCGTGTCGACGCTAGGTGAAGTCAATTGGGTTATGGCTTATTGCCAAGGCCGCTAACCGGTCCAGCTCAGCCCCAGAAACTCGTGTTCGGCATGTTTGGACATCAGCTGTAGAGCAGGTGTGTACGAACTGGAACATAGGTCTGAATCGCGCGGCAGTCATGCAGTCTGGGCGCTGCAAGTTAAGGAAGGTGCTATCGTACTGTTGGGTTTGCAGACTGGAAGGAATATAGGCACTGGAATTCGAGTTCTCAAGAGGTTGGGTGTCATGTTTAGTGAGTACCAGGCTGAGAAGAAATGGTTCGAAGGCTCTAGGAAGAAGTTCATCACAGCTATTTAGAAGTTCACCTGTCTCCCGCATCACCACTCCTCCACCCCACCATCGCAGAGTACCACTCTGCCTTGTTCTCACTGCTCGATGAAGGTCCCCACTTCCACTGCTCTTCGGGTTCTCGTTCCCTAGTGTATATCCGCAAGACCTGCTCCGAGAAGTTGCCGGCACGGTCCGCGTCGTTGAAACACTGCGCTGCCGTTTTCGCGACGGATTGAGCGCGGTTGTGAGGGGCGAGCTGAGGATTGGTGAGGCTTTCGATGGTTGCTTTGCCGTTGTGAGGTTTCTTGGAACGTTGCGAGGGAATCGTTTTGGGCGGTGTTCGACATGATCGGAGGCGTCGGACAAAGTGCGCCGTCATTTTCGCGATGGCTGGACCGCGGGTAAGTGGGGAGCGCTGGCGCTTTGGGAGGAGTTGATGCCGATGCCGCTGCCTTGTGTATGCTTTGCGAATGTGTCCGTGGCTGGTTTTTGGTGCGCGTGGCCAATTGGAGCGGAGCTGTCGAAGAGAGCCTCATGGCGTCCTGACATCGTAAGGGCGAAGGGGTTTAGCTGCCGTGTCTTCTCGTGCGCAACGCTCGTGTTGGCCTCTTCGTGCGTGACATCGACTTCAATTCCGACCCCAGTTGGGCTTTCTTCGAGGTTGTCATTCGAGCGTATTGGCAGAGGACGCGTATACAGATCCTGGAGCATTCTCAGCAGCACCAGTTGATCGGCTAGAATTGCGCCTGACGAGAGATCTCGGTAAACCCGGAAAGTCCGACGCAACGAGACCATGAGCGCACCATGCGAGGGTGTCAGCGGAAGCGCGACGTTCGGGTCGGGTGCGAAGATTGGGCCGAAGTAGTTGTGTGGCATGTAACTCTGGTACAACCCGCCGCAGGCACACTTATCCGTAGCCTCCATGCCGACTTGGTGATCCTTGTATGCCTGCGCGGTCGGACAGAGCCTGGCTGGGAGGGCGATCCACGCGCGCCTCCCTCTCGCGCCTCTGGTAGTGTTGGGTCTCGAAATCGATGAAGAAGTGTAGGTCGGATGGGAAGAAGGTGAAGCTAGGGGAGTTGACATCAGCGCAGTTTACGTGGCAGAGTGACAGGTGGATTCCGTTGTCGACGTCGCCGAGGTCATCGAACGTGATCAAGCCTTGCCGCTTGAGTCTCTCGAACTACGAGCGTTAGACTGAAGCACAGGAGTATAGAAGGTAGTGACCTACAGAACGGTCTTTCCTCCCGACGACGTAACAGGCACCCACCGGCGAAGCTCCGCAGTGCCAGCAGTTTGGCCCGCTGCGTAACATGTCCTTCTTGAAATTCGCAGAGAAACCGGAGGTGCTCGAAAGGATGCTGCTGGAGAAGCTTTCAGTCCGCCTCCGTTTGTTCGGAGCGCTGGATCGGGATGGGGAGAAGCTGGGCGAAAGGTCTGGCACGGGGAACTGTGCGCCTTGCGGCGGAGGCAGGAGGGCGATGTGGCTGAGGGAGGACATGCTCGTATTGAGCGATCGGAGAGGGCATTGCGGAGCTTATGTGGGCGAGTGTTCAGCAGTGGTGGTTTGTGTCGAGATGGACGTGGAGGTGGACGTACAAGGTGCAAGGGTACCTGCTTATCGATAAGGTAAGACATCATAACCACCAGTACACGAGTAAACACACAATGACCTTCTCTCGCGCCTTACTCCTACGAACTTTCCTCGCGCCTTCTTCCGTCTCACTCCGCTCGTTACTCGTCTCCAGCCTTCTCCCATGCTCTCAGATCACATCATCGAGGCTTGAATCCGCGACACCGAAGAGGCACTTAAGGTCGGTTGAGCGTGGACGAAGAAGTAGGCTGCGATTGACTTAGACGCCCCGGCTCTTCTCCTACGCAATGAGCAGCAAATGTATCATGTGACTGACTGCGCCACTCGGCCTCCTCAGCCTCAAACCCGAAGTCTGCTGATTCCGCGTAAATGCGTTGCGCGTCGGCGCGAAAATCATACGGATGTGCCCTTTCTGAAGAACGGTAGAAAATCGGTGTGTTTTCTATCAGCATACAACGTTCTATGCACGCTTAACGAGCTAAACCTTTCATCCCTCCGACAGTAGTAGGGACGCCCTCTCGCAGCCTACAAAAGCAGAGTTGAGAGCGGTACGGGAGCGCCATAACGCAGAAGATCCACGCCTTGGACATTCCCGGCAAGAAATTACCGCCCATAGAGAAGACGTCCACAATCGTAGACAGCGGCACAACACCGTTGTCGAAACTGTGAGGGGACATGCAGATTGTCACGTGCATCGTATTACCTAAGAGCGGAAAACCCCGCCATCCTCTTTCTCAGCCTCAGCCCTGTTAACTTTATCCGCTGCTGGTTGCTAAACCTCGTTGCCTCTACCCACACCCACACGAAGAGTGGATATCGCCTGCCTTAGCCACGTTGGTTGTGACGCTTCTCACCCCGACAAGGGGGCTCAGCTGTTGCATAACAGGGAATATATAGCAACCTCTCATGAAAGTGAATTGTTGCATAATATCAGAACAGCGAAGACACCGTCGCGTTCCTAAACATGGAAGTAGATGAGCCGGATATGAGGGAAGACACCTGCGACTCTCTCGTTCACGTCCGAAGCCAATATCCAAACCCTATCTACTCTATGCTGCTCTATATTCAAAGATACAAGACCCTGCATGAAAAGTCTCTAGAATGGGTTCAGGAACTGGAATGTCTCTACATGAAGAAGCCAACCCGCAAACGACGTCGCGCTGAGGATGATAGGCCAGCCGGGCCCGCGAAAAGACTGCTAGGGCGGCGCTACATTAACCCTCTCAACCATTCTGAAAGAAACTATGTCGCAGTTTCTTACACCTGGAACCCCGCCCAGGGCGAAGAACATGCTACTGGTGGATACTGCGTCGAAACACGGCAGGAACGACAGCCGGTTCTGACAAAAGTGAGGGACGTGGTGCTGAAGCGAGTGACGAAATACGTCAAGTATCGCAACTGCGAAAACTTTTGGATCGACAAGGAGTGTGTCGACCAGGATGATCCTGGAGAACAAGAACTTGCGATACAATCCATGGATCTTGTCTACAGTCTAAGTCGCTATCCGGTTGCGTTACTCTCCGTGCGCGTCGAGTCAGTTGAGAACTTTAGCCTTTTGCTCGAGCTCCTGAGGGGAGCGTTTGTTAGGGACGAGAATGACGCGCCATTTCTGAAACGAGGATCCGAAATAAACCGGAAAGCTGAGAAGGCCCTGAAGCTACTGGATAGAATTACTTCGGATCGATGGTGGACAAGAGGGTGGACCTTCCAGGAGGACTACCGCGCCTCTACGAAGATGACGCTTCTTATTCCTCACGATCGTTCGTTGGAGGCGCAGAAACGAAATGCGCAGGACTCCGTGAGTGGGAAGCCTTTGTTTGGGAAGCTTAGCGGTGAGCTTTGTGTCAACTCGGCCGACTTCCGCAAAGAGGCCTCTCGATTCTGTCTCGCGTATCAGAAGCAACAGAGACATGAAGAACAGGACGACGCCACTTGCAAAAACATTCTGATGCGAGCGGGAAAATATACTGAACTACTTCGGAATATATCGGGAGATGTTGACAGCACATTCTGCAGATCCATGTCCCCCGTCATCTTCGCTGACATCAATTCCCGCGGAATAGAAAAACATTCCGATCGTCTCGCCATCGCGGCCAACTGCTGCAACTACTCCATTCGCCTGGACACCAGGGTGCTGAAGACGGAAGGTTGCAGCTTGAGCATGGCCATGCTAGCTCTGTACCTCTTCAACGGCGAGATTATCATGAACAACGACGATGATAACGATGGCAGCAGTAGCGCTCCACTCGCGGACAACATATCCGACTTTCTGAAGAAGCAGTCTTTGAACACCTTCCAGCCGGCAGTAGATGAGGGACTCACTTATATCAAGAGCTGCCGCTTCATCGATGTCCAGTTGGTGAAAGAAGGCGTCCAGACCGCAGGGCATCTTTGGAAACTTGGCAAGGCGATTAGCATCGACCTTGCCTTTAGCCTTCCATTCGAAGAGGATTCCCCCAATGGATTGACCGAATTCCAACGGTGTTGTCTAAAGCAGTTGGTCGCGGAGCTGGCATCCGGAGGGCAAGGCAGACAATACACGGCGCTTGCTGAAGATCTTGATAATTACCTCAAGGAAGATGTACGGCTATCGGATGAGCATAAGCCGAGCTTCTCCAAGCGATTCAAAGATTGCATGGCTGGAGAACTCGTCGAGGCTATAAGATCGAAAGGAAAGATACTCCGCTTGGCATGTCTTGTGAATCAACTACCAACGGAAGAATACAGTCCTTACAGCGGAATCTTTGCCTGTGACATCGGTGAAGATGGGACTGCGGGCTATGTCTTCACAGCTTCACGGCCGGCTGGAGGAGATTTTGGGGATATTGACAAGCACGTTTCTTTGAAAGTCGATTTGCGGAGTTCCACGAAGGAAGGCTTCCCGCGATTATTTACGAAGAGATGGGTTAACGGGCTGTATTTCTTTGAAGGGCGTCGGAGGCGAAAGGTCGTATTCCCTTGGCCAGCATCTTTAACGATGTGATGAAAGCGTATGCTATGTGTGCGGGAACGATGTCCACTTTCCTCATGGTTCAGATATTCCTTGAAATCCTCAGGTAATCTTCGGGGTAGCGCCTTTGCCTTCAAACAAGCATTTCAATATGTCAGGACCAAACAGCGTGTCCTGCAGACTCCCCGAGCTGAACCACATTGTGGAGAATGACGCGCTGAGATACCCGAAACACTGTTGCAGCCGCCAAGCCCCAGCCTTGTAGCCCCGTCGGTGAAGTGCTTCACGCAACTGCGCCGCAGCCGGCGCCTAGCCGTGCCACAGCACATTTGTAGCTCTTCTATCGTCTCACAACTTCTTCCTGATGTGCATCTCTCAACCCGCCGAAAACGCAAATTCCTCACAACAAAGCACGACAACGACAACCTCTAAACCTAGCATCATGTCCCCCTTCACAGCCATCCTCGAGTGCCTCCGCGGCGATACCTACGCAGCCACTCTTACTCCGAGTCACAATCTCCCCAGCAAAGTCCAGCATCCCGCCTACCACTCCGAGAAAATTCTCCTTCCTCCAAACGAACAGCCTATCCACCGCACCGCCGAATCCACCGCCTCCGACATCCTCACTGCTCTCTTCTCCGCCACCAAAGCCGGCCGCGACCTCGAAGCCACCGTGAACGACATCGCCCTCCAATTCGGTGGATGGAGCGAACACATCGCGCAGTACGTCCTCGACGGCCTCAAGAAAGCGTTGCAGTCAGCGTCTGCATTGAAGGGGCCGGCGAAGGAAGCATATGAGCGGGCGTGCGAGGCGGCAATGAAGATTGAGGGATTGGCGAAGGAGCATCCGTATTATGCTGCTACGATCTTGACGGTCATCGCGCTGGGTGTGCTGATTATCCTCGCGCCGGCTGTTATCCATGCGCTGGGATTTGGTGTTCTGGGGCCGGTGGAAGGTGAGTGCGGTTCCAGCAGTAGCGATGAAACGACGCTGATCTAGTGAAGGGTCTTTCGCGGCTGCTTGGCAGTCTACGTATGGTGGTATGGTGGAGGCAGGGTCGTTGTTCTCCTACCTTCAGAAGCTCGGGATGCTTTATTAGGGGGGCCAAGTTCACATGTCAGCCCTGCAGGAAGACCCGTGTTGGACGCTTTGACTGTGTTCTCTCTACCTCCGCACCCCGAACAAACGCTCCACGGCATGGCAGAAAGCGAGGGAGAGACTCGGCGCCTTGGCTGTTGTGCCGACAGTGACGCCTGCGCCCTACAGCGCCTCTCGCTTTCCGCGTTGCGACCGTGTAGCCTGCCGGTGCTGCCTATGCGAGGCCCGGAGCAGGAGCAGGAGCCATCACGCCTTTCGAGCGTAAACTCCGCGCCCAGAGTTTCGGTGCCCGAGGCTCAGGCAGGGGAAGTGGGCAGAGGGGGTTCGGGGCGAGCGTGGGTGGTGGTCGGGGTGGAGGGTTTGTGCGGGGGTTCGAGGATATCGCTGAGGTTACGGAGGGGAGTCGGGGGAGTAAGAGTGGGATTCTTAAGGGGTGAAGAGGTTGGGTTTTTCTTAGATTTCGGAGGTGTTGGATGATTTGCGGCCGTACTGGACACGAATCCCGCGCGGCGTTCTGGTGGTTCGTATTGTGGGACAGCGTTTTGGATTTCGGTTGGATGGATGGTGATACCCATTGTTTGGTCGGTGTATGGCGTGTCTTGTATCGTTACGCTTGGGGAAGCGCTTATTGGTTTTATTTCGGTTCCTCGCAAGTGATTTCCATCTTTCAACCGTTCGTACAAGCACACTTTCTATACTGAGAAAAGAGTACCCTGTCGCACCGCTGCTACTCTACACTCCTGCTCCCTTCCCTCCAACGACCTGAGGTCCCGGTTTGCCACATTCTGCTACTACCCGCTTTGTTTCATCACGAGTTGCGCTTTTTACTGATCAGGGGCCTGCCCGGCATTTGATGTTTCGGTCACGATTCTGCTTGCTGTCTGCCATTTGATATATATTACAAAATGGAGTAGGATTATCACATACGGCCATACCCGCCCCACCGGAAAAGAGTGGCGTTGACTAATCAGAACTAACAGCAAAAACAGGGGCTTTGCTAATTAAAGTCAGGCGGTGAAGCGGCTACCACGAATCTTGGCATAGCGGTTTACCTAAATCACACCTCTGTCGGTAAGCTGGAGGTAGTAATAACTGGTATGGATTACTTTAAGCTGTATTTGAGTAGTTCTATCACCCCAACACTAGCATTCAAACGGTCCGTGGCAATTGCAGGCTAACCGAATACCCTCACCGAGTTGTGGTGATGTGCGACTATTCTACGGCGGGGGAAGTACTGTACAAGGCGACGTGGATTTAAATTCTCACGTGCCGCATCCTTCTTCTTCTCTCTCGGCTCTCTAACCTTGCTTACGCGGCATTCGCCTCAGGCATCTTCTTGTAGACAGCTTTCACTTCCTCCAAACCACCCACAATATCCATCCACTTTCTGATCAGTGGATATCTCTCCAGACTCAACCCACCGTACTCGTACTCCCACACCCAGGGATAGAAGTGAACGTCGACGGCGCTAAAACCTCCTTTCAAAACACTCTTCCCACCACTCTTCTTCAATTGCGCCTCAAGCACGTCATACGATCTGTAAACCTGCCCGACGTAACGCTGCAATGCATCCTCGTTTTTGCTCTCGTTGTAGTGGCGGTACCAGTTCACCTGGCCTGACATGGGACCGAGACCTGTAAGAAGGAAGAGGATCCATTTCTCGAAATCCACTCGGTCCTGCTCAGACGTGCCGCGGGGTCCGAACGAATTCTCCTTATCGTACAAGCGCAAGAGATAGCTGATTACGGCGCCAGATTCCCACGAGTTCACACCGGTGTTCGGATCCTCGAGAGCTGGGACACGGCCGTTCTCGTTGATGGCTAAGAATGCCGGCCCTTTAACACCTTTGGGGCCGTCTCCGAACTCCCAAAGCTTGACTTGATAAGGAATGGAGAGCAACTCCAACAGAATGGCGACTTTGTAAGGGTTAGGCCCTGATTCGTGCGCATGCAGAACCAAAGGCTTGAGCTTGCTGGTATCTGACCGGGCCATCGTGAAAAGCGGCACGCTTGCTCTTGTTGTTCAGCAGGAAGCAATGAATCTGGTGGCTGGATTCGGAACAATTTGATGATAAACATCTTGGAATAAATTGTCGAGATGCTCTCTTGATATAGCCAGGCCGTACCAAGTTTGACGCATACCATGTGAAGGTTGCAGCCTGTGCAATGCTGAATCAGCGTCGCTGATTCAGCCATCCATGATGAAAGATGCTGACATGCATAGATCATTCACACTAGCAACGTCCTGCATCTGTGACGGTTATCGTTAGGCCCCCAACTAACAGGAGTCGATATGCTAGATTGGTGGTGCTGGGCATTGGAGGACTAACTACATGACGAGGTGCCCTGTCGCCCGTAGCTGAGTCAGCGCCGCCACGTCTTTGACCGCAGGATACTGTTCTTTTCATAACGTCGCTGCATTTCTTGGCAGAACACGAAAATCGTCTCTCCGTGATTAGTATAGGCAGCTCCTAATAAAAACCGGAGAGCGCATGCCCGCACTATTAATTATTATTAGTTTAAATACCGGTAATTATCTATTTACCTAAAACGGTCAATTATATAGAATTCTTAGTGTTTTAACTTACCGCGATGCGTGTTAAAATCACCGCGCCACGCTCGCCACTACTATCCTTAGCTATACCTCCATTGTCTTTAAAGGCTCCCTCGTTTTTAAATAAGCGTAAGGCTACCGCCGAGGTGACTCCCGCTAAAAGTAATAAGAAGCTAGCCTTAAACCGCCGCTCTACCGCCTCTTATAAGGCTTAAAAGCAGCCGCGAGGTTAAACCGCTCCTATTATCGTCCCTACTATCGAACCGACTGTCGAACTAGTTATTAAGCTGGCTATTAAGCCCTTAACCGTTTTATCCTCTCGCGATTCTACCCTAGACTCTATATAAGCTTCCGTGGCACTAGTAGCTAAAGACAACGACTAGTCTTTAATTAAGGATATTAAGGATAAAGAGAAGGACCTAGTGTTCGAGTTTAATAGCATCTAGTATATTAGTTGCGGTAAGAAAGTCTTAAAATCTTAAATGGTTATCTATAAGGTTAATTATCTGGGCATTACCGGTCAGCTAAAGTTTTGGGATATTTAGTAATTTGAGAGGTAAGTGTTAAAAGAAGCTAAACCCTAGCGGTTTACCTCTCGCGGTATTTAAGCGGTTATATTATAAGATAAGATGCTGATTAAGGATTAAGCTCCGTAAGATATTAGCGGCTAGCGTGATATTCTAAAGATTAAGAAGATCTTAATAAACTAGTTTAAACGCTACCTATAGAGGGCGCTCTATATCTATATAACTATTACTATTTAAGAGATTATCTCTACTTCTAAGTTAACTCTAGTATTATAGCTATTGTAAGGTCGGCGGTCTATAACTAGTAGCTAGTATATTATTCTCTCTTACCAGCTTAAAAACGAGCTAGCGCTTAGTAATCCTAGTTTCGCTCTAAGTATAGAGTATAGATACTAGAATTAGAGTTGTTCCAACTATAGTAAGGTGTGGTCTAGAACGTGTTAGATATCTAGCTCTAATCTTCTATCTAATTACTATTCTATCTATACCTAAACGCTTGCTGCTTGGGCCCGCAATATTAAGGAGGGTATCGCTATAGTCAAAGATCTAAGCTACAATATTATACTACGGCTAGCTGTAGATAAAGGAGCACGTGGTGCTAGTAAGATACTAAGGTGGGCTCGATTACTAGTCTTGTAAGAGCTAGCTTATAGATACCCGATTTAGCAAGCGCCTCCTTTTAGCTAGCTATCTTACCCGCCTCTCTATTTCTATCTGTAGTTTTAACTACCCCCTCAACTCCCTGCGGCTGCCCCGAACGATCCTCTGCTGTCTTTACTAGTAGTAGCTAAAGACAACCTAGATGAGGTAGTTGCGTAGTTTATTAACTAGGCTAAGAGTCGACGGAGCTAGAGTATAGAGCCGGTCTAGACCTTCCTCTAAGAGCTGAAGATTTACTTTATTTAGGATGGTTGGAACCTTAATAGATTGTAAGAATCTACATCTAAGGATTAGTAGCGGTAGTATAGCTTTAAGCTAGAGTTTTTTGCTCGCATTTATAGGGAGATTAAGCCTTTTAAAGACTCTTAGCGTCGGGCTTACTGAGTACCTCTATCCTACTTATTATTTAGCTTAAATTAGTCTATATACGTCCGGGAGACTTAGATCTTAGTATAGTATTATACTTATTCTTGTTTTTTATATTTAGTTTTCTTACTAGAGCTAGTTATTCTATCCCGTCGACTAATTAAACCCGGGCGATTAGTATAAAATATAAGCTGGACTAGCTTTAATAATCCTCTAGCGACTCCGATAATTCTCCAGTGATCTATTACTAGCTAAAAAAAACCTTAATACCAAGTAGTTTTTAGTAGTATAATATTTTCTAATTATATATATAAGCGGCGGCGGGGTTTTAGACATATTATATCTTAGAACTGTTTTTTTTTAAAAGTATAGCTGCAATATTCGTGGAGTATCTAATTTAAACTGAAAAAAATAATAAGTCGTGTGTAGATTCCTATATAAATACCCTTAGGCTATAGCTAGCGTGCTTAAAATAAGCCCTTACGTTCCTTCTACCTACTATATAGATTACTATATATAAGAATACTAGGAAGTCCTCTATCTACTCTATTAGCTACCGCTCCCGCCTTATTTAGACCTTTATATCAGCGAATGTCGCCTTAATAGAGTTAAGATTAGGTGAGTATAGTGGGAGGTAGTTAAACTTAATACTAGCGTCCTAGAATATCTGCTTCACCTACTAGCTATAATAGATAGACGTGTTATCTATTATAATAACTAATCTTCTGGGCCTTTACTATAATGCTGGTAGTAGCTAGTGCTATAGCTAGGCCTTAAAAATTATAGCCGTTATAGAGTCTTAGATAATAAGGGTTACCGCCTTTATATAACCCTTAATTATTACCGCTAGTAGGATAGAGTATCGCTTAGAGCGCTGCCTAGATATAGTATCTATTATAGTAACTCCCTTAAGCGACTAACCGTACCACTAGTTATCTATCCGCTTATTAGATACGCTCTTATCTATAAAGATAAGCTTGCTCTTATTATATTAAAGCCGCTAAGCGTGTTAAGCTACCTGTAGTATTATATTCTACTCTACTACTTGTTGCGATATCTTTTTATAACTCTATCTAGCCCGCTAGAGCATTTAATAGATAGTAGGAACCAATAGTCTGATGCTAAACGTCTAGTTAAGCCAACTAGCTATTTTGTTGAGGTAGGTAGTAGGGTGGCGCTCTAGCTATTCGATTAACACCTATACTTATTAGCTATAGTATTATAAACCGGCTAGAGCAGCCTCATATTCTCTTGCATAATAGTAAGTAGCTTTAGATAGCCGGTAATAACCGATAGAGGCGGATATAGGCTACTAAATAGCTCGAGGTTTAATCGGAAGCGGTATATCGTATAATAAAAGGCTTTTATCACTCTCTTAATCTTTTTAACGGGAGTATTGGTTTATAAAAGGGATATAATAATATTAATAATATCTTTAGGCAGTTTACGACCTATTGCGGCATCGAATTACGGTGAGTATAGCCTTAAGACGATAACTGGTGGTGGTGGTGATGATTTTCGTGTTCTGCCAAGGAATGCAGCGACGTTATGAAAAGAACAGTACAGTAACGCGAGATTATAAATCCACCGTGCGAGAACACGAATCATAAGAGCCTGCAGCCTGCAGGCTGCAGGCGTAATTCTCATTCTAGTACGATTCCCTGCTGCACGGCTTTCACGGTCAGTGTATATTCGGAGCCAAGTCCGAAAGTGCAGTGGTGCGATCGTGATGGGTTGGTCTGTTGTTCCCGGATCATATTTAGAGGCCATGATTTCAGCCATGCCCAGTCCTCCCTGCGCGGCACCAACGATCCTACCACGCGTAGAAACACTTGGCCCTCTTCGCAGAGTTCCTTCGGTTGGACCTGGCGCGTTCAAAAGTTAAACTGTTGATTTCATGTAGTCTCTGTGCATCGTTGGACTAATACGGAAGCGTTACCGGCATTTGACGCTATCAGCCTAAACCTAGGATTATGCACATATGAATATCGAGGAATATCACGTTGTATGCACTTGAATTATTGATTGACAGATAAAATGCAGATTAAAGCTGTTGCATGCTTCCATAGGCCTTAAGCTGCTGGATCACTTTTTCCAAGAGTCCCGTCTTTCGACCGCCCTCTACACTTTCACTGCAAAAGTCCCTGTTACTCTAAAAAACTAGGAACCTAAACCCACTCTAAAATAGCTAAAGTATTAATATAAAGCTAACTAAGCTTAGATGTGACCGAGAGATGAGTGTCCCCCCGAAACTGAGGAACATCATATGAACGAGCTCCGCGATACCGTTACAGAAATACAGACGGTCAAGATCCACATTTCCCAGATACACCGGCACGTGGATGCCCTGGATCGGTCGGAGGCGTTTATAGATGGCAGCCTCGTGCTGCAGGTGAGCAACAAAGTCGATGACAGTGCATTTGGCGGTTATGGTGTATCCATGGGACGTCAGCCTGTCCTCAAACAGGCCCCCGCGTGATCCGTGCAAGCCCACCGGCTCGCAATCAATATCCAAGTCTTGCGAGAGTTGACGGCGCATGAGATTGAGGCTGGGATGGGCTGTGCTGAGATGGTCGGCTTGGAATATCTGGATCAGGCTCGTCATCATCAGGTTGACTCTGATCTTGCGGCGGATTACAGGCGGGGGAACTGGTCGAAGCCGCTCTACGTCGGAGCCGGATGGGTGACATGCGAAGAAAATCGGTCTGACGAGGTGGCCAATACTCCGATGAAGGCGCATCGAGTATAGGAATCGATTCGTTTGAATCTAATGGATCGTTGTAGACCAACTCCCAGGTTTTCAGTTGAGCCGCCTTGTCGGTCTGGCACTTCTGATTTGCCTGAAGGATGAACGCTAGCACTTGTCCGACAGCGGTCAGATGCAGTTGATTTCTCCTATCTGAATCCGGTGTCCATCTAGTAGTTTCCCCATGTCACCCCTGGGGACGGACAAGAAGTAATATACCGTCTTCGAATCATCTGGCACCCGCAGGAATATGAACGCTTCACCTGTGCAAGCGTATCCATACTCCAGTCCAGCCCGGATCATGTAAGAGAAGGCCTGAGTGATGGTCGCAGCGACCAGGCGACGGAAGTGGACCATTTCCTCAAGCTCCATGTCGCCGAGACCCTCGTAGATAACGCCGAGGGGTAGCTTGTGGGGAGCCTTGTACTCGGCAATGAAGGCGGCGACTCGATACTACGTACCCCGAGTCCTACCGGAAGTGTTGTACACACAGAACTGATCTGCACGAGGACTGGAGGATGTTGCTGCTCCTGTGATTATGTTTATCTAGTCTATGCCCGACCCGCCCCCAGTTAATATGGGAGCTGGAAAACCAGAAGTGTAGTTGACTTCTAACCACTACTAAGGAGTAGGTGCGGCTCTCCAGCAGATCGCATGCGTAGCGCTAATTCCATGTGCTAGAGATAGTTAGTCCCAGGGGTTAACCGACATGGTACCGTGTGTACTCTAATAATAAGGCAATTCTCTAGCGGAGAGGGGGGATAAGGGTTAGTCTACTAATGTTAATAGCAATATATTCTACTCCCACACTGGTGCATATCCACGCACTTGCCTATTACACAGCCCTTCTAACAGTCAGTCCACCGCCATGGGTTAGTGTAAGAGCGGTTCCGGAACTGCAGCTAGCTATTCCTTTGTTAAGGAAGATATGTGTTCAATATTATCTATTTATCCCAGACAGACGTGAGCTAATTTGCAACGACGTATCAACTCACGACACCTCACTCTTAAACCACAGAACTTCCTCTTGTATCATGCGGAGCACCCTTCTCTACAAACTTAAGCTTCTTCGAACAACCCTCATACCCGCTCCCTGCGCCTGATGTGCAGCAGATTAGTTACAACTTCGACTTTTCTGGAGGCTGCGTAGACTGCAATTCAACGTCAACTTGAGACCACCAAGGCCACGCTTTTGGTGCGTCCTTTTTCATTGAAGCCTGGAATCGAGGTGCTCTCTTTTCAAAGAAGCTGTGCACTCCTTCAAGGTTATCTTTACTTCCGTACATGCCGTGAATGACCCTCGAGTCCAGTAGGTGCGCTTCCTCAGCACTATTCGGGCCCCGGTACATCAGGTCGCGCATGAGCTTGTTGGATAACACGGAAGTGTTCTTGGCGATGTCGTTGGCAATCTCCAGAGCACGCTGGAGCGTCGCCTCGGGTGTCGGCAATACCTCTGAGAACAAGTCACTCAGGAGCTTGTGGTCTGCAGGAAAGGCAGATCCTGTTGTTGTGAGATGAAGCGCTCTAGAGAAGCCGATGAGGCGCGGAAGGAAATAAGAGGAGCAAGCTTCCATTATAATCCCTCTTCGAGAGAAGACGAAACCAATCTTGGCTTTGGCATATGCGATACGAATCGTAGCAGGTAGGCACATGGTGATGCCAATACCCACGGCCGATCCTTGGATGGCCGCAATTGTAGGTTTCGAACATTGGTGGATAGCCAAGGCGACACGTCCGCCACTGTCGGATGTTAGCGACGGCCAAATGTTCGAGAAATTTGTACGCTCACCCATCCCTATGATTGACGTCTCTTTCACCCATGCTAGGGAATTTTTCTCCAGTCGTACCAGCGCCCAGAAAGCCAATCTCCAAGTCAGCACCGGCACAGAACATCTTTCCACTTCCGGTCAAGACCACCGCTTTGACTCGGTCGTCGGCATCGATCATTCTATAAACCTGTTCCAGGCTTTGCTGCATGTGCACCGTAAATGCATTGTTCTTGGACGGACGATTGAGTGTGATCAGGATCACAGGAGTCGGTGTAGTCGAGGTACCTGGCACATGTGCCACCTTGATATGTGGAAGATCGAGAGAAGTATAGGTGGCGGGCACATCGACCGCGGCCGTCGATGGATGCATGATTGAATAGTAGGTCCAACCTGTAATGAGTGACGACTCCGCAAAACTCACAGGCACTCTTGGTCTCCGCGAGTTTGAATACAGGGGCTTCACACAGCTTTTGGAACTTATCAGTGGAAGGCCTCCGAAGCTCTTACTGCCGGGCTGGGGCATGATACTCTAACACATGCAAGACGTGATCACGGGCCGAGGCACACTCGGTCCGAGCCAACTGAACCTTTTCACCAACGAGTGTTATCACAGGATGGAACAGCGAGTATCGCGGTGTTGGAGATCCTCGGTTTGAAGCTTTCCTCAATCGACTGACACATCCATTGGAAACCTGTTGTTGTTGACGAGAAGCTGCCGACAGACTTAGTGCCCTTGTGGCGAGATTGAATCAGTGTACATGACTATTACAATGCTGTGGTTCTTGAGCCTGGCGGTCCTGGCCTAGTATGGACGAGAAACTAGACCTTTATAACCAGTAGGAGTACACAGTTGTTATGAGCATGCGACTTGCGAGATCACGGTCCTCAACAACGCATAGGTTGAGGACTGAATGTCGGGATAGTAAAGTTAGTCACTGGCACTGGCTCGAGTTATCCTCAAGTACCATCAGACTCCGTAGACGGCTGTAATTTGCGGTGCTTAATTCAGCTTGCAAGTGCATACAAACACTGGTGCTCAATATTCTCTAGACCTTTCACACGTACGGTCCGATAGCACATGCATTGACCGACTGTGAATATGAAAGTAAGAGGTGATATTACATTTTGATCCGCTTCCGGCAAGCCTGTCACATACAAAGTCCCCTACCGGCAATACTATCCTACTCGCCCTGGCTCGCGAACACTCCTCTGTCGGGACGTAAAACAGCTACAATTTCACTTTTAGCGGTTGTGCTGCTTCCGCATCCAGCGCCTCCTTGTAAAGACGATCCAAGACAGCTCTGTATTTCTTCGCAGCGACCGGCCGCTTCAATTTGAAGGTCGGCGTTAGGAGCCCATTCTCAATAGTAAACGGCTCCAAAGCTAACCAGACGTTGCGAACCCGCTCGTACCCTGGAAACTTGTTCCTCCAGCCCACCGCATCCAGCTCTTTCAGCACGGCTGCTTTGACTTGCTCCTCTCCACATGCGGACTGGATGGCCCCGAGATCCGTGCTTTGGATTTGTCGGCCAAGAACCCTTGACGCAAATGCTGCAAAAGAGTCGGGCTCGACGCCGAGAATGGCAATCAGGAAGTTTTGCAAGCTGTCGCCGTGAACATAGGCTTGCGCAAGATAGTTGCATGCGGAGAGATAGACACCCTCAATACGCTCAGGAGAGATGTATTCGCCCTGAGCAAGCTTGAGCACATTCTTCTTGCGGTCGATGATAGTGAATCGACCTAGACTATCCACCATGCAGATGTCGCCGGTTTTGAACCATCCGTCTTCGGTGAAGGCTTTCGACGTCTCTTCTGGGAGCTTGTAATATTCCTTGAAGATGTTGTTACCGCGCAACAGTAGCTCGCCTCGGGGATTTGGCTTGTCATCAACCGTATAATCCATTTCTGGTACCGAGAGCAGGCATGCCTCGTTACATGCCGATACGCCACCACAATTGCCCGTCGATAGATCGCCGTCTGGTTGCGCTAGTGCAATTGCATACGCCTCGGTAAGGCCATAGCCTTGTAAAACTCTTGTGCTAAAAACAATGCTAAAGAAGGTCTGTAGGTCCGGATCTAGAGGCGCTGATCCACTAACTATTGACCGAACACGCTCGAGACCTAGAGTGGCGGCGATCTTTTTACCCCATGTCATGTCGTAGGTAGTGTGCTTGTTCGTCGGGTTGTCTTTGCGACTGATGTTTGCTAACTTTGTCTTGATAACACGGCGACTCAGATCGCCCTCGAAGCCTGGAACATCTACGGTGCGCGACTTGATGGTTCCACCTAGCCGATTGAGTAGTCGTGGGACGGATGGGAAGGATGTCGGTTTTAGGAGTTTCAAGTCATCCACGAGCTCGAGGACGTTGCCGTGGAAGTAGCCAATTCGAGTACCCGCGTACATAGACACATGTTCGAGCATACGGCCGTAGATATGAGCTAATGGCAGGTAGGAACACAACACGTCGTCTTCCTTGTGAGTCGTAACTATCATCGATGCGCTCGATGATGCCACAGCGTTGTAGTGTGTGAGAACGACACCTTTAGGCGGACCTATCGTACCGGACGTATAGTTGACTGTGATGATATCTGAAGGGGCTGGAGGGTTACATGGACGATTCAAAGACGCGCCAAGCGCTTCTGCTTCGGTAATCGAGATGATTTTGAGATCAAGAACGAGTGATCCAGATAGGAAAGAGAGCAAGGTCTTATCGGACGGCGCCGCTTGTTTGTGCGTCGCCGGTTCAAGAGGATCGAGAGCGATAATGAGTTTCAGATTCGGTAGTCGGGGCTTGAGCTTGAGGAGTGACGGAATATGGTTTAGTGATGCAACAACGCAAGTCAGGTTCGCATGTCGGATAATGTGCTCCGAAGCATCGGGACCTAACGTGTCGTACAGAGACACTGTGAATAGCGACTGTGACATGCATGCCAGATCCGTTATCTGCCATTCAGGTCTGTTCTGGCACCATAGCCCAACGCCATATTGAGTGCCTGTAATCCCTTCTCTGGCGTGGAGCTCAATTAAGCCGACTCCGAGGTTAGCCATGCGCCTTTGAGCCGTTCCATAGTCCATCCACTCATATGGGCCAAAAGTCTGTTTGATAGAATCGTACGGTCGGTGGCCCAGAAACAATGCCTCTGGTCTTCGATTCGCGCTGATTTCGAACATGTCATGCGCTGTTCGCACAGACGGATCAAGGCTCTCGATGAGGCCATCCTGGAACCGCCAATGGCGGTAGATCTTGCTCCGGCCTTGCTTCTCTGAGTTTGGTAGAGCGACAGAGACTGGCTGGCCATTGGGGGGAGGCTTCTGCAGTTCCTCGGCTCTTTGAAGGTGAAGAGGGCGGGAAGACGGATATCGTGGCATGATCAAAGACGAAGCTCTTGGACGAAGGAGAGGTGCAGACGAGCAAAGGAGCGAACAAGAATTGTGTACCACTGATAAACACTGCTCGAAAAGACACCAGCAGAGACGACATGCCTCGGAGCTAGACCAGCGGAGAGAAGGGGCCTCGGAGCGAACCCGGCAGAGGCAAAGGCAACACGCCTCGGAGCGAGACTAGAAGAGAGGACAGCCTCGGAACAAGCAGGAAGGACGTGCCTCGGCCCGGTCCGCCTTACAGAGATCGGGTTGCGAGATACCGCAATTAATCATCGGATATCAAGGCCGTGTTCAGTGACACTGTCAGGGTGGCCTCGGGATATAACATGACGCTTGCAAGAGTTACCCGACGACAAAGATTCTACGTCAGGCTTGGTGTGCTGTTGACTTTGCCGATAGGCTAGTCGCTGGATCGCCGACATTGTCCATCATAAGTTGAAGTGGATACCATTGTTGTTCAATGGCTCCAGACAAGCTACATAGTTCTAGTGACAGACCTTACTGGCATGTGGACATTTGCACAGGTTAAAGTCTTGCTCGAGCAGCTTTTGAAGACGCAGGAGCTCATGGCTTCCAAAGTCTGGACATGCCGCACCCCCTATCACTCTATCGACGGATGGTGGACATCATCACGCACCCTTGCACGTTTTGAACAATGAGCTATTATGCTACAAGTCTTGAGATACGCACGCTAGCTGGATCACGAGCATTGATTGTCTGTGGAACTGTGGCATTCTTCAGCGCGGCGCAGTGCAACGAGGCCCAAAGCTGAGCTACAGTGTTTCTGAGGCAACTCTAATTGGCGAGAATGAGGGCAAGTATACACCCTTGAGCCACAAATAGTCCGTACCACGATGTGATACTGTTGTGCGATGATTTGGTACACAAGCGTTGGGTCATTGTCAAGATTGCTGCAAGGCCACCATAAGGCCTCTTACAGCTATCCTCGCAAAATCGTCCAGTAAAACGTGGTCCCATGAACTACAACTTGGCTACTGCTGCAAATGCCGCTCTCTGGAAAGCAGTGAAGAGTTTGCCAGTAGGCGCGTCACCGGGAGGCAACAACCAGCTGCCGTAGAATCCACATGTTCCTCGCTCACGATCGATGAACTGCGACCAGTGTCAACTTGAAAGATCAACTCACAACAGGTCTGACTTACCCAGAATGAGTTCGGTAATCCACTCCAATAAAGTAACTCCTTGCCAGCCTGACCCTCAACAGCGCTGACAAGTACCGCACCGCCACAGCCATAGTCCCATCTGCGGTCTTGATCCCTGGGCAATCCTGGAGCCAGAAAGCCACCCATAACCGGATCCTCAGCCCTCGCTTTGAACGCTTCTGGGTGCGCTAGTTGACCCTTGAATAATTCCTCTCTCATTTTTGGCCCAAGCAGCACCCCGTCGTTCATCAACAAACTCGTCAAGATCTTTGTAAAATCTCGGGCAGATGAGTATGTTCCATCCCCACCAAAGTCATCTTCTAGTTCGCTGACGAGAAACATTTCGGTCTCATCTTTCGTTAAAGAACCGGTCTCAGTCCTTCTTGTCCTTCCCACCATCCGCTTCATGATCTCCGGTCTCTGGAGGGGGTGAAACGTCGTACTTTCCATACCAAGAGGATCCCAAACATTCTTTTGCAAAATGTCTCCGAGCTTCACACCAGAGTTGACCCTCTCAACCATCTTTCCCGCCCAGTCAATACCAGGACCATATTCCCAACCCTCACCAGGTTCGTAGATCAACGGAGTAAGGTATTGGTCTTTGATGGATTTGTTTTCTGTCCCCAAAGACTGGCCGCAGTACTGACTCAAGAGAGGGTTGAGTAAGGGGTATGCCATACCGGAAGAATGGCTTAGGAGGTGACGCAGCGTAATAAACTTTGTGGCCGGCCTAAGTTTCGGCACTTTGTTGTCGGCGTCGAACCCAATGATGATTTGGGGTTCTGACCATTCAGGTAAGATGGCCGAGATGGGGCCGTCCAATTCGAGCAGGCCACGCTCGACGCACTGGAGTGCTGCAATGGAGGTCATGAGCTGGATAGAATTAGTGCCTATCGACAACCTAGCCGTGAAACCGTGAGAGCTTCCGTCTCCTGCTTTCAAATGCTCTCTCTTTCCCGCGTACTTGCGAACGAGGAGAACAGCATGACCGAACCTACCTTTGTACACGAAGCAATCCACATGACTGAATCCACGGTGAACAGCTTATCATCGTCTCCGATACCAATCTTGCCAAACGCCTTCTGGAACAGTAGCTTGCCTTCTCATTAGGACTATCTCATCAGCACTCGTTCGTCGCAGTGGCAGTCCTGGAAGTGGTCACTGTCAAGGTCTCATTTGAGACATCGTACCAGACTTGTCCACCGCGATAGCCGCACCTCCAGCCACGACGCCATCGTCGGCTGCTTTGTTGACCGTGTCCTCGAATTGGGCTGCCATTGCTGGAAGTAAGATCCGTCAAATGAATATGGTGGAGAACGAACGCTGTCGCATAGTCCAGCAACTGAACAACACAGACGCGAAGAGATATGCAACACAACCACGGCAGAAGTTCAGCAGGATAGGACGAGCACCAAAGATGCCGGGGGTGGGTAGGATTATCCGACTGTGGGGATGTGGTTGACCCCGCAAGCAGAGTAAATGGTACGGCCCTCGGTAGGAGACGCGGTCGTTTCGTGCCGGGGATTGCGGATATTGAACGTTCAGTTTCTCGGTAATGCTGACTAACTTACATGATGGGCAAAATGTCCGTTAAGCTAAGCGACCTAGAAGTGGGCCGCCACCTCTACTCTCCCCGCCGGAAACAAATAGAATCACGTGCCGCAGCCCGTGCTCCATCATCAAACCACGCAGTAAGGGTATATAATCGCCGCATTCATTGAATATCAGGCGCAAGGTAACAATACGAGCGCGCATTGCAACAATAATGTCTAGGCCTCGGCTTGGAGCCATATTGGTGGTGGTTAACTACAAGGTCATCCAGAAACGAGCTGGCTTAGTTTGGTGATGGAACAGGGGCTGCGGCACGTGATTCTATTTGTTTCCGGCGGGGAGAGTAGAGGCTAAGCACTCCATCAACTTGCATATTATAATGCGTCAACTCTATTTGCAAGTCTCTAGTAAACAGATCCAATAGGTCTTACTTGCTAGTCTATATCACGTGTTCTAATGTCGTAGGAACATCCGAGGTGCAGATAGACGAGTCCCACGCTGTAGCTCTCAGTGTTGTCAATAAGTCGGTTGGCGTTAAGTCATTGTTTGTATTGAAATGGCTCGGTACTAGATCTTTAATAACAGCGGTACTGCGGCTAACCGTCTGGAGGATATTCGGAGCCGCCGAACCGTGGTATCTAAGGTCTTGGCAGGTGTTCTAGATATTTAGTTGTAGGAGTTTTAGATAATTGCTGCTGCGATTAGTTAAGAGGATTCTTAGCTGCTTACCTATTCTACTATTGAAGATAAGGATAATGATCTTACCACTACTCTCTCTAACCCCTCCGCACTAAACGAGCTTCAAAGATCTACCGCGTAAAGGCTAATGAGGCTTAATTAAGATTAGTGGGGCTGAAAGTAAATATTAAGGCGTTTTCTGGCTATATACAGTCTCTGGCCAAAAGTCTTTTCGAATCGCCGATTTCTCACTAAAACTCGCTATTCTTAAGATCTAAAAACTCTATCCTGATACTATTACTAAGCAATAAGCTTTTATACTTAGTAAGAGCATAATCTTAGCTAATTATTAGTAGACTTATATTAAACTTTACTACTAATATACTTACGCTAGATATAGTTGAATTAAAGTATAAATATAAGTAAAAATACATTTTAAGATTTATATACCATACTATAATATTATACTTAAGTAGTACATATATATTAGCTTATTAGCTTAAAAACTGTATACGATATATAGTAATACTTAAATATAGTAGCTAGTTATCTAATAAATAGTACTTAAGATTTTATTTAGAAAATACTTAGAATTTAAACCCCTCTAGATACTTAGATACTTATAATAGTTTAATAATTTCTTAAGTTTAAGATAGCTTAGGTTTCTAATAGATTATACTAAAGTTTTTAGAGCTAGGCTATACTATCTAGCTATGAATTTATTACTTAGAAAACACCAAGTTTTGGTGAGAAAACGGTGATCCGGAAAGACTTTTAGCCAGGGACTGTATAGCTTAGGGAGTGTCCCGCAGGCTAGCTTTGTCACCGGCTTAGCAAATAACGAAAACCGGCGTTACTGGATCGTTATTTCCTAATGCGGAACAAATAAGTACTGGAGCTACTTATTGATAACACTGGTGGCTCTCTGCAACCTGTCGTAAACGCATCGGAGCATTCGGACCGAAACGAATTAACGCCATTTGAGACATGTTATTGCGAATTTCTCGCTGCATCTGTTCAAGCCCCTACTAAGGTTCACAATCTACTCCTCATGTTGTCGGTGCCCAGCTGCTTCTGATCCAAGCCCAGCTCCGCCATCATGTCGTGCGCCCGCCTCTTTTGGCCAGCGAGCTGCTCTATCACCTGGTCTTTACGCGTCTTGTTCTCCCGCTTTCCTAGTTGCTGCAGGTGCACCTCATCTGGGCCATCCGCTATGCGTAGCGTTCGTATCTGCGCCCACATGCTCGCCAGCGGGGTATCTTGGCAAACACCCATGGCGCCGTGCGCTTGGACTGCCCTGTCAATAACGGTCAGAGCCATTGTAGGCACAAGGACCTTGGCCTGTGCGATCTCCTTGAGCGCAGTTTTCGCATCGGCGGAGTCAATCTTGATAGCGGCGTTAAGGACGATAAGGCGCGCCGCATCAATCTCTATACGAGATTTTGCAATCCATTCCACGAGTACGCCGTGCGCGGATAGAGGCTGACCGAACGGCTTCTTGTTCTCGTCGTTCATTCGCGCAATCATCCAATCAAGTGCGCGCTCAGCTGCACCGATAGACCGCATCGCATGGTGAATACGGCCAGGTCCGAGGCGCCCCTGGATGATCTCAAACCCCCGGCCCTCGCCCAGTACTAACGCGTCGGCGGGGACCTTGACGTCCTTGAAGCTGATATGCCCGTGACCGTGCGGAGCGTCGTCGTAACCATACACGCTCAACATGTGGTGGACAGTGATGCCGGGGGTGTCAGCAGGTACAAGGACAACGGACTGTTGTTTGTATTTGTCGGGATTATGAGGGGAGGACTTGGCCATCACGATGTAGACCTGACAGAGGTCGTGTCCCGCATTGCTCGACCACCATTTAGATCCGTTGAGGACCCAAGAGTCTCCCGACTTGGTCATAGTCATTTTGATATTGGAGGCATCGGAAGAAGCGATGTCGGGTTCAGTCATGAGGAACGCTGACCGAATTTTGCCATCGAGGAGTGGCTTTAGCCATCGGTCTTTCTGCTTCTGGGTCCCGTACTTTGCGAGGACTTCCATGTTGCCGGTGTCCGGGGCGGCGCAGTTGCATGCCTGACAAACGAATGAGTATGGATGTCATGGAGGCTTCCAAAAGGTTCTCTTACCTCACTTGCCGTGCGACACTTGCCTAATTGCTCCGCCATCAAACCATACTCCACATTCGAGAAGCCAGCGCCCTCTTTAAAGTGGTTCTTTGGCAGAAACATGTTCCAGAGGCGTAGACGGTGTCGGCAGGGATGCACTCTCGGTCGACGAAATCCTCGATCTACGCACTGAAGTCAGAACCACCACATGGCTAGGCTGCAGAGGCGAAGCAAAACGTACCAGGTCGAGAGTCCTCTTTGCTCGATCCGACACCCATGGTTGAGCAATGATGGGGATGTTCTGCGAAGCTGTAGTCCTCACGCCCGGGGATTGCCGCGGAACTTCCAGGAGATGTTCCGCCATAGTCTCGCCTTGTCGATCATGAGGTTGGTTGGAGCTGCGTAGGAGTCCGACGATTATATACAAACAAAGGCGGCCGCGTTAACGAGCGCGTCTGATGTGAGTGTGAAGCACGGGGTCTAAGAACTGGTCGCCTCGGAGCCGAGGCACAATCGCCCATTCACCGTGACTTGGCCGCAGAAGGGATAAATCTCTCTCTTACAAATGCCATGCCATAACGGTACTTCTGATCTACCACGAGGCACAAGTCCCCATGCGTCGTCCTTCCCTCAAGCCATGTGCATCAGTCACAGTCCTAGCTTACGGAGTAGTCTTTCGGCTTCCCTTGGTGCGAAGTCTCAACGTTGAACGCATGATTTCCGTCGGTAAATGAGAGCTTGGTTCTTGCAACCTGAAGTGTAAATCCGTGGTTAGTCAGAATAGCCGTGGCATCCAAGCACCCAGTACCGCAGGCCGAGAAATCAGCGGCACGACGCGACCGCGGTTTAGGATCCAGACTACCATTGTGCGCCGAACCACGAGTTATTCCAGTTTTATACCCAGCTAAACCCTGCTATGCTTCGACCATACCTCTGGAACTTCCCCTACCATGTCTGTGCCCTACAAAGAGACTGATACTCAGGCAGAGGTCGCTCATGTAGAGCGGGCTCCAGCACCAGCCGCAGCCTCCAAAGCTTCCGATGGCCGCGACCAAGTCCTCGAGCATGACATCGCAGCATTTGAAGAGCGCAAGCTGGATTTCCGTACCGCTATGGCCATCGTAGTATGCACCTCTGCTCGCCAGCTTCGAGAAGCAGTACCGACATGCTAACATCTGTATCGGCTCTTGCTTTTACCTACGAGGCTGCCCTTCTGTCCTACGTCCTTCCAGTAGCGATCCTTTTCACCATTGATGCAGATATCGGACCTTCGGGCCAGATCAACTGGATCGCAACCGCATGGTCCTTAGCGACCGCTGTAGTTCAGACTATCGCAGGAAGATGCAGCGACATCTTTGGTCGTAGGAATTTCACAATTGCTGGAAACCTGTTCGGTTTAATTGGTACGTCGACGCACGTCCCTGGTCTGCTGTCAAGCACAAGAAACTTATCAGGTGCAGGATGTGCTGTTGCTTGCAGGTACAACCTGATCTACACAAGCGGGCATATTGCACGGATTAACAATGGATTACTCCAGAGCCACTTCCGTCAATACGGTCATCGCGGGAACTGCCTTGATGGTAGATTATCACATCCGCCTAACGACACCAACTGATCTTCCGTCTAGGGTATCGGTTCTGGTCCCCAGCAGCTGTCATTTGCTTGCGCCAACGAAATCGTTCCGAAGAAATCTCGAGGTCAGACTCTTGCATTTCTGAACCTTGCAGCTCTACCCGGATCGGCCTTCGGATCTGTCATTGGTATGTCATAGTCTGCTCAATCCTTTCCACAAGCCTTCTCTGACGTGTGGTCTCGACCCAGCTTATGCCCTTGTTGCCAATCTTTCATGGCGTTGGGCATTTTACGTGGGAATTATAGCGAACGGTTTCGCCCTGATACTCATCACTATCTTCTACTGGCCTCCTGGCTTCGTCGGTCTCCATCCTGAAGGCAAAAGTCGCTTGCAGCAGTTCAAAGAACTCGACTTCCTTGGGTTGATACTCTTTGGTGGCGGCCTGACAAGCTTTCTGCTCGGCTTGTCGTTCGGGAACAACCCATACCCGTGGAGTAGCGCCAGAGTCCTTGTTCCGTTGCTGATAGGAGGTGAGATTCGATGACAGTCTTATTCTCGATTGACGAGTTATACTAAGCCGCAGTAGCTGCCACTTTTCTCATAGCATTTCCAATATGGGAGGTCTACTCCCCTGACACAATCACTAAGCTATGCCCTCCAGCAGTCTTCAAGAACGTCAGAGGGTTTACACTTCCCTTATGTGTGATCTTTGTTTCTGGAATGCTGGTAAAGGCCAATGAAACCCCCTTTTTCCGCTGTTCTAGGCTGCTAACGACCCCGGAAATAGCTGATTAGTCTTCAAGTCTTGTGGCCTCAAGGTAACACAGTCTCACTCAACAAACACTACAGGCCTGCTTACAACAGATTAGAAGTTCAGTTACTCTTCACCACAGTCCCAACCACAGTCGGTTGGTACAGTTTGTCTTACAATGCAGCATCAACCCGTGAGTCTATCTTCCTATTCTCAACTACTGGTTACTTACCACTTTTCAGTCGGTGCTCTCGTCTCTGGCGTCCTGTTTGCCAGAATTCGCAGGACTAGGTGGCAGTTCCTGGTTGTGACCATCTTGCAAACAATCTTCATTGCTTCAATGGCCTCAGTCGACCAGCACACACCACGGCGCGCCATTGGACTCGTGATCGTTGCAGCTTTCAGCGTTGGAGCTTCTCAAATCATCGGACTCCTGATCATTCAATTCGGCGCCAAAGATTGTCAGATCGGGGTTGCTACTGGGTGAGGTCCACTCCCTGTCCAGAGGAATACGACTGAAGAGTGATTTAGCTTGACCGGCTCAGTCAGAGCCACAGGCGGCGCGATCGCGATTGCCATCTATGGATCCATCATCCAAGACAAAGTCAGTCAAGACTTAGCACCAGGCGTGGCTGCTGCAGCGATCGAAGCTGGACTTGCGCCTTCAGCTGTCGTATCTTTCATAGGTACCGAGTCTCTCTCTTGTTTGTCTGATAACACAGACAACGTGTTAACCGACTTTTAGAGGCCTTGACTTCAAGATCTGCGGCCGCGTTGGGTGCTGTCGAGGGCATTACACCGGCGATCATCGCAGCAGGTGCAAAAGCTGTGCAGACTGTCTATGCCGATGCTTTCAGACTTGTTTACCTGGTCAGCTTGGCCTTTGGAGGTGGGTGCAGCCTGAACGAGCAGTCTCGCAATGTCTCTCAACTAACATGTCTACAGGCATCTCTATTATTGCGGCCATCTTTGTCCGAAGCGTCGACGATGCTCTAACGTCGTAAGTTACTGACTCAATCTCAACGAGGTGCGAGCGTTTCACTGACGCGAGATGTCTGTAGACAAGTTGCGGTCAAACTGGGTGCACCGCATCTTCTTCCGGGCCACGGAACGGGTGACGCGGGGGTTATTAGCAAAGAGATTGATGAAGTCAATTAGGCCGCCATTCCAGAGCTGCTGGGCGTCAAGCAGCTGCCAACGACAAGGTGATGTAATTTGGATAGTTGTCCAGGAGAATATGAAAAGCGTTCTCCCGAGGCGTTGAACTCTTAACTTGGAACACTTGACTTCTACCAACTAGTTTCATCTTTGTACATTACAAAACCAAGCACGCAGACATCAGTGCTTCGTCCAAGCTCCTGCCTTCTTTTATACCTTCCCACCTAGCAAGCAATCTGAAAGCTTGAAAGCGTACCGCAACCACTGAATTATCGACTCTTACTTACTGTACTGCATTCTGATCTACTTATCTGGATCATGTGAAAGAGACTTGCATATGGCAAACAGACCCTACAAAGGTCGTTATCTACACCAGTAAACCACCAACTTCGGAGTCATTCAGCGAAGCGCATCGTTGTCTGAATATTGGGGAATGATGTTGACATCAATGCGCGCACAACAGGAGCAGTCACAATTCCTTCATGCGTCTCTGAAGTTTGGACTAGTTGCCACATGCTTGGCAACGTATCCACTGCCTGACTTACTATCGTGTATAGCTGGATTCGGCATGGAAGCTCACGTCAAGGCTCCGGGAGCGACACGACCGCGGTTGCACTGGCTCAGCCGACCTCCTCAGTCCGTGACATCAGACTGCCTCGATTGTCCGGTCAATCTGACTAACGAATGGGAGAGCCGTGGGCGAGTATACTCTCCCACCACCTCAGCAAGACCAAATACTGCTCAAGGGTGTAGCTCGGGTTCCACTTGAACATTAGTCTCGACCCCTGCATCGGGAATCTGGAACTTCAAGCTGCTAAAAGGATACTAGGTCCATCGATACCGGGTCCGAGGCAAAGACAACTTTGCTGTTGGACGTCATGTGCTTCCTATGGTGGTGATTTAGGCGAGGTCTGTGGGAAAGCATGCGGGCTACTCAATGTTTTTCATTTAACATGAAGGTCGATTCTCACGAGACAGGAGTGAAGTTGATGAGGAGGAAGGTCAGGGCTGCTCCATGCCAAACACGTAGTTTCTCGAGCCAGAAAGATTAATGCCCCAACTGAAGGGTGGATCAGGAGACTTTGTGGATGCCATTGCTGACTAGGGAACGTTAGGTATTGCCTCATCCAAACCCTGAATCCATAACACAATCCTCCGCCATGAGGATGTCGGACCATGCATTGAAATCGATCAAGCCGTCGATGTCACCACATAACTCAATGACATCCTCTCGCCTAGAACTACTTCTCAGACCAGCTGCAGATGTTTCCGGAAGATGCCAAATAGGTTCGCCATCCGACCACAGTGGTGTCGAGGCTGGAAGGTCATCCCTCGGATCCGAGCTCGGTCTGACCCTCCGGGCAGACTGAACAGTGCATGCGTCAGACCATGGCGTTACGGCTTCGTTGTGGTCCGGCAAGTCGCTCGTGGAACGTGCTTCTCTCTGTTCATTCTCATCTGGTATCTGCACGTCCACTTTGTTTTTAGCAGCCTCCAGGAAGAAGAACGCCGCGTCCGCTGAAGCGTACATCTCCCGCAGGCGTTGAAGGACCTGCATACACTGGCGAAAACGTCGTGAACTGCTATCATAGACAGCTGCATTACCGGACTTGATCTCCAAAAGTTGAACCACCATAGCCGGAATCAGCACAGTCACCCCTGTGGGAGGTAGAAAGCGCGTGAGGTCTTGGTTATGAAGATCGTGCGCTATTTTCGTGGTCTTAATAGCTGCGCCTTTAACTCTTTGCCGGGACATTTGTTGGAGGTTTCTAGCCATAGATTGGGACGGCAGTTCTGATAGGACTTGGGGACGATGTAAAGCGCTCACCGTCGTTAGATAGATCATGCTGAGTACAGCACGATGGACAGAAAGCTCCTTGCAGGCGTGAGCATTGGTGCGCTCATTCGACCCTGACATCCGATAGTGACAGTCCCTGGGAAGATTTTCATACCACTGACTAAGCTCTTGCTCGCATTCTATAACTTGAACCAACTGGGCAGCACATGCAGGTCCCTTCGACGTAAGCATCACTGTGCTTTCTCCTCTTGAGCAATATTGGACTGCAAGGACATGGCCTATGCAGTAGCACAGTTTTGCCTTCTCAATACACAGTTCAGCCAGTGTCGTTCTCTTCGTCACATCCGCTGCGGCTGTATGTTTTCCTAGTATATGGACGAGCTTCGGAGGAGGAGGCTGAATATCGAAGTCATCGAGCGTGAGCATCGGCAGGTCGAAATCTTCGTTCCTTATGCGCGTCGCCTTTCGCATGCTAAGCGCCACGATCCTATCGCGCATGAAACAAGACCACCATAGTCGCCTCCGAAGACGCCTCTTTCTCGGGCTTATATCGGACTGCACAGAATTGCGATGAAGTCCCTCAGTGTAAGCGAAAGACAAACAGATGCCCATCCAGTGCCAAGAGTCTTTTTGATCATCCGGCGTCTCATACGAGTAAGTCAAGAGCAGGAGTGCCTGCACAATCGAGAGCCGATCGGATTCGTAGTCGAAATCGTACAACAGCTAAATATGTTAGTCTCGCGACTCATACGTATAGCAGTGATTCCTAATATCGTACTTTGGCTTTTTGGAAAAAGTTTCTTCGTGCGGTCTTTCTGTCGTTGTAACCCTCCGCTTTGAGAAGAGGCAACTTGACGAATGCAGTTGCGGCAAACATCACGGCGTGAAACAGCATCAGGCTCATTTGATTTGAGGCATCGTTGCTTTCGATGGACTGTAGAAATTCTTCGAGGTCTATCGACGGCATGTAAGGGTGCACGTACTGCACATAACTTTGGAGAAGTTGGTTGCGTAATCCTATCCCTGGCAAAGTCAAAGCTCCTCTCTTGTGTAAAAACTCGACAACGTCCGCATCCAACGCAGAGGGAAGGGTACGGATATAGTTTGGGAGGCTCGCCCCTGCCTGGACATCGCTTGGCGTCGTGAGTCCGGCATCTAATGCTTGCAGGACCGTTGCCAGGTTCGCAGCCGAGCGCCCATTAATCAAAGATGTTCGTCGCATCCGTCTTTCGCTCGTCAAGACATCATCCCAGGTGTAGTCTGAGCACTGTCAGCTGCAAGGAATGTGATTCTTAACCAAGTCACAGACCAGAAACACGCGGCACGTGGTTGCTCAATTGAAAATCAAGCGACGTTGGTGCAGTGGCTAGAAATTCATCGATCGCTGAAAACGTTTCTCGAGCATCCATTTCTTCGACGTCGATAACTGGTGAGACCGGCGATGGAACTGGGAGAGGTTCTTCGGGAAGAAACCTTTTTCTCCTTCTCGAAACGCTCGTTGTGCACTCGCTGTGGTAGAGACGACAATTATCGCAAGGAATTCCACTTTGGACAACACTGCATTTCACCTTCCTCGCTCGACAGGAGTGACAAGCCGTGGAGGCCCTGCTTCTCATAGTGCTTTCCCCTCCCATAATCTCCCGATCAACATTCGTTTGAGCCACAGATCCGAGTGCCGCATCCATTGCGTTGGTTCCAGTGGCAGAGACAGGTGGAATCGTCGGAACGTCTGTCGCAATGTCGGCTGTATTAAAAGGGCGGCTAATCAAACGAGGGAGTGCATATGACAGGCGACTCCGTTGCTCACTTGCTCAACCGCGGCTCTTACAATCTAGTCTTGGTCCATTCAAGTACTCTTAGCCTGGCTTTTGGAAGGAAGAGTTTGCGATATGATGATAGGTGAGCAATCTTGCGTCGACTTGAGATGCTCGGGGCCGTTAAGGTAGCCCGTACCTCTCAGAGGTCCACTGAACTTCCCCGCTTCACCTTGGGCCAGATGTTGAAGGTGTGGAGGCACAAAGGACGCTTGGTCAATGAGCTTGATTGATTGATTGATTGGTACTAGCTAACTGACGATGCTCTGATGAGCTGCTTCAAACCCGATGTCAACCGTACCTTGGCTGACTCAGCTAGTGGCCGCAAGGGCCACCACAGACACAGTCGAAGCGCAGTAGGGTCTGGCTCCACCGGCGCCATAGCACGGGTAAAGAAGACACGGGATCCTCCATGGGGCAGATGAGAGCGACCGGCGTGACACTCTGCTGTCGTGAGCTGCTCCATCTCCCCACCACGATACACGGGTTTGGAGGATCAGCAGACGCCTTTCCAAGAAGGGGTAGGTGTCGCCCTTAGTGCGGGACAGGCGGCCACTGGGGTTGTTGCGCGAGCTAGACCCGTCTTTCTGCCGAGATAGCGACTCAGCACTGGTGAGTCGCCTGGCAGGCAAGGTTGCCTCACCACCGCATTCAGATCCGGGCACATCGAGCTCGCGATGAACAAGACCAGCCTAACAGGAAGATCCACCCGGCCAACACTAGTGGCCAGTACTGCTAAGAGCAACCTGGAGGACGGACGCATGAAGCAACGCCCGACGTCAATCATCCCAAGACGATCGGAGTCCACCTTCCATGCGGATGTCGAAACGTTCAAGTCGCCTTGACACCTCACTCCAGAGAGGGTTTCAAGTGGAGGGAGCAACCCATCTCGATTTAGATACGGACGCAGCAAATCAGTCTGTTGTGCTTTTCAAACCGAGGATGTTCCGCCCAAGTTCGTCCGTGCTCGGCGGCGGAGGTAAAAGGTGTATTGAAAGGAGTGTGGTGGCTGAAATGCCTTGTCAAGGCTTTATGCACCTCTAAGCCGAGTCGTCGCCGCTGAGTCGCCTTACCGAATTCCACGCCAGACACATGTCAAGTTCAGGTCGCTGAAGTTTGGCAGAAAGTAGCACTTGAAATTCACTCACAGTGTAGGGCAAGCCTGCACCTCGACCACATCAAGCCTCTTCGTCCGGATGCTCGTCTTCTTGTCGAACTCCGATCCCGAGATGTTGGAGGGAACCATCAACCGGAGAGACATCTCCTTCTTTCTCGGTCCTCTATCTTTCCCCATCGTCCTCTGACCCTTCATTTATCACATCATCACGACAGGACCGACTTCCTCGCACGTAACTTTCCACGGAGCCTCGGCTATGCGATCCTTGGCTATTCAGAGATACTGCACGCCGGTGGACTACGATGTCTTGAATGTCCCTCAGCCGCAGATCGAGGCTCCAGATGACATCCTCATCAAGGTATATGCCGCCTCCATTAACCCAGTGGATGTCAAGGTGGCATCCGGCGTCGCGAAGATGGTGCAGCCAGAAACGTACGTCCTCCTCTTTTCCTCTCAAAATCTGCTTTCGAAGCTTCGAGGCACCTATTTCGTTTGTTGACACCCTTACTCCTCCCCACAGCTTCCCCTACAAGATCGGCTACGATCTCTCCGGCATCGTCGTTTCAGTCGGCCCCGACGCCTCCTCCCGCTTCAAGCCCGGCGACGAGGTCTACGCCCGTGTGCCAGAGCGCTGTCGTGGCACGATATCTGACTTCGCTCTATCAACTGCCTCTGCCACCGCACTGAAGCCGAAGCTCCTGTCCCACACTCACGCCGGGTCGCTGCCACTCGTTTCTCTTACGGCGCTCCAGGCATTAGACGCGGCAGACGCGGAGCTCGAGGGTGGGCTGAAGGGAAAGACTGTGTTCATCCCAGACGGTCTCTCCGGTGTAGGGACTGTAGCCATCCAGCTCGCAAAAAACGTATTCGGAGCATCCAAGGTCATTACGACACTCTCGCCATCGAAGATTGCGAAGGTGGACGAGATCCTTGGAAAGGGCATCGTGGATCAGGTCATCGACTACACCAAGCAGGAGCCAGCGCAGACCCTCCCTAAGGGTTCCGTCGACTCCATGTTTGACACTATGGGCGGCGCCATGGGGTGTTTGCGTGCAATGAAAGAAGGAGGCGTGATCGTAACCGTCGCAGCTCTACCTTTCGGGCCAGACATGGAAAGAGTTATGTCTAACGCGCCAGTTGTTGCTCGTTGGGCTCTCAATGCTATTGGTTTTGCAGCCCAGTATAGAGCCAGCAGATACAAGGTAAAGTACTCTTACCTTTTCACGCATGAGAGGGGGAGTGACCTTAAGAGGCTGGGAAACTGGTTGGATCAGGGGAAGGTTGTACCCGTTGTCTGTAGGGTATCGAGTTTGACTGATTTGCAAGGCGTCAGGGACGGATGTCAGGAGGTATTAGCTGCGAAAGGCGGGATTGGTAAGTTTGTGATTGAGATCCAATAGATGGATCTAGATATTTACAAGGTCGTGTTTGAAGCCCGCTATGTACTCAGCTTGGTCAGAGCATTGGTCAACACGACATGACCGCAAAATGCTTACTGTGCATTCCATTGCGCGCTCCGCGCCCCCAAACCCAATACGTACCCGTCTTGCTTATCTTTACACTCTGCACATCTGCCCGGTTTACTGTCGTGGTTAAACAAGATCTTCCTCGAGTATCATAATCTTCTCGCGGTCCATGCCAACCACAAGCTCCGGATACTCATTCCAGAACTTTTCCAGCAATACCCATCCATCTAAAGAGAAGATCTTTTCCAGGAAGGCTGGATCGGCCTGTGCATCGCCACCTCGACTTCGCACAATGTAGTCAGTGTTGCGAGTGTTTCGGACGCGGCAAGTACAAAAAAGTAGGCCGAAGACCTCTGCACGACAGTACTTCATCCCGTGAACGATGAAGTTGTCACGCAGTTGCGGCCAAACAACGTAATCGAATATTGGCGAGTGGGGTGTGAAGAGCTGCATTGCGGTCGGACGAAACATTGCTGGCATTCGCCGGTAGCTATCCTCTGATGGATGAACGAACCACTGCATCTGATCAACAATTGATGGAAGGTTGTCAATACGAAACAGCCTTACCCGAGCAACTAGATAAGACATCCAATTGATGGCGAACTTCTCTGTCCGTCGTAACGGATCATGGAGCGTTGCACGATGCACTGCGTTGGCGAGTTCGTTCAAAGACCCACCAAGAACAAGATCTAAAGCTGCAGGCTCTGGGCTGCACAGTTTGAACAAGTGGGTAGACTTTCGCATCTCTTGTATGATTGGACCAAAGGGGTCGAAGCACGTTTTCGTTGGTGGAGCCGTAGGTGGTATCCTCAGCCACTCAGGCAATGTCAAGATTTCCTCAAGTTTCGTTATTGGTATGGTCAACTCGCGGTATGTGGTTAGGTGTGTAACATTGGGCATCTGCCGGCTTTTGGTCATCGAAACGAGCGACTCAGATGGTCTTTCGTAACGGTCAGGGCCAACATTCACCCGCGCACCATCAATGTCTGCTCGGGAGGAGTTGTCTGCACCGTTCAATGCATTCGAACTCGGCGCCGGATACTGAGAATTATTCATCTCTAATGCGTTCAGCTAGGTGCAGATGCAACGAGAAATTCGTGTAGATGAACATACCACACTCGAGTGGACCTTGACAGCCGACGTCGACGCATGGTCCGGGTTGAATTCCGCCGGTAGTCTCATCCGTGGTAGTAGAGGCGTACAAGTCTCTCCGAGGTAATCGGGTATCGTCTTGAGCAGTCCACTCCTTGATGAAAGTATTTACCTGGTCGAGTCGATCGTTTGTGGCTCGAGTCCTGGCACTCATTGACTGCACTGTGTTCCAAAGTTGCCGAACAGTTTCATTCGAGCCATCCAACAATGCCTTTACCTGCCGCTCCAAAGAGGCGTTTCTTCGCTCAAGGTTCTCGAGTGTCTCCCTCTCTCTTCTGCGTTTCTGCCTTTGGTTCTGCCTATCCCGCTGTAGCTTTCGTCCGCGGGCATCACATTGCCCAGAATCCTCCGAAGTCTGGCTTGTAGGCATGATCTTCTGTCGATGTTCATACCGTGATTGGCGATGTCGCGGCCGAAAGATTCGCAACTTCGACGTTCTTGGCAAGAAAAATGCCTTGCGTCGTTAGCGAGACTAAATTCAGTCCACGTACCCAAAGTCTTGGCACTACCCTACGCCCGGGTTCCCATGGGTCTTAGGGATGGAGGTTGATGAGTGGGCGCCGATTCTTTGCCAAGATTAAGCGAGGACCCTGATTTTGTATGTGAACAGGATGCCCATTCGCGATTGCATGAGTACAGCTAGGGCCTAGGGCCTTGACGCGGTGGCCATCTCGAGTCACTTGTGAGTAGAGCATCAACGAAATCCAAAAGACATCCCTCGCGTCATGCAGTCAGCAAAGCCATCCTCGATCACAGCGTTGGAATACAGGGAGTGTGTAGCGGGGTAGGTCTGTCCATCTGATTGGTAATCTTTGTCAGCAGCACGCTTCCGTTTCTGAGGAGTTTCTGAGGGCGCAGAAACATAAATACGACACTTTGGCGCGCTGTAGAAACTGCACACAACGATAAGCTCACTCGAGTAGAGCCTCGGACTAGTGTACAGGAGTGTTCTCGACGGTTTTGCCAAAACGGGCAGATAGTCCTTCGAGGAGGACTCTACAAACGGCCTTCCGTTGCGCCCTTCCCCTGATCTGATCACTGGCGATTATTCAGCTTAACGACCGCCAAGACCGCCCATTGCCGGTCGATCACAGAATCATGTCAGACTCGCCACCGTTGTCATCCACCGGTATGTCACTCCCACCGGCGGCGAGGAAACTCTCTCCAATTCTTCCGTTTAGGGTGAAGTAGTCTATGGCGGTGTCTCGCTCGGTTTTCTACATGTCTTCCTTAGTAATTGCTGCAGTCATTCCGATAGATACATCATAACTTTCTTTCTCCCCTTATCATAGCATTGTCCGAGTACCACTGTCCATTGCTTTTCACCTCTAAAATCAGATTCTACTTGATACCTGTCACTAACACAGATTAGTTATGGCAGAGAACTCAGGAATAAAGGTCGACGAGTTCGAAACACCAGAAACCCGCATTGAACGCCTCGGCCGAGAGCGTCCTGAAAAGTTTAAGTCTTCATGGGCAGAAGCAGGCTTCGTGTTCTCTGTAGTGATGTCACAGGTATTGACTGTAAGACGGCCCTTATATACGCGACTGAATAGCAGTAGCTAATAGTATCTAGGAATATTTCGTGTCTGGTTTTAACGTGGTGTTACCAACCGTTATCGCAGACCTAGGTATTCCACGATCATCTAGCACCTGGCCAGCAGCCGCATTTTCTCTTGTCGTGTCTTCATTTCTTCTGATTTTCGGTCGTTTAGCCGGTAAGTGATAGATGCCACGGCGTTTAACAGAGGCGAGCTGACATCCTATTAGATATGTATGGCGGCTACCCTATCTACCTTGGGGGCGTCATCTGGCTTACTTTATGGTCAATTGTGGCCGGCTTTGCCCACAATGAGCTGATGTTGGACTTCTGCCGTGCCCTCCAAGGACTCGCCCCTGCAGCGTATCTGCCAGCAAGCCTTATGCTGCTTGGCAGTATCTACCGGCCTGGACTACGCAAAAACATCGTCTTTAGCCTCTATGGCGCTTGCGCTCCGCTTGGCTTCTTTATCGGCATCTTGTTTGCCGGCGTTGCCGCTGAGTACGCTACTTGGGGCTGGTACTTCTGGATTGGAGCAATTCTGACGGCCATCACTACAGTAATCGCCTACTTTACAATTCCTTCTGACATTAAGGAGCGTAGAGGTCTCGGCATTAAAATGGATTGGCTAGGCGCTATCTTATCGTCGTGCGGACTAATCCTGGTTGTATATGCTATCACCGACAGCTCTCACGCGCTAAATGGCTGGGCCACACCCTATATCTATGTGCTCCTTATTGTCGGCGTGCTGCTTCTAGGTGCTACAGTCTATGTTGAAGGCTGGGTCGCGGAGATGCCACTACTCCCGCCTGATCTGTTTGCCGTCAAGTATATGAAACCATTAATTCTTGCGCTTTTGTTCACTTACGGTAGCCTTGGTATCTTCCTGCTATACACTACGTTTTAGTAAGTTTTCTTACAATGATCAAGTGTGTAGATACTAATAATCTTTAGCATGACTGAAGTTATGGGCGGAAGCCCTATACAACTCGTAGCGTGGTATTTACCAATGGCTCTTGGCGGCTGCATCGTCGCTACTTGCGGCGGATTTGTCCTCCACTTAATCCCAGGCAGCGTGATGGTCATCGCGGCTGGCGTGGCTTGGATAATAGCCCCGTTACTCTTCGCGCTCGTGCCTGAGGGCGCTAACTATTGGGCCTGGGTGTTCCCCTCAATGATATGCGCGACTGTTGGCATTGATATCACGTTTAACGTCACAAATATCTTCGTAGGTATATCCGATTACCCTGTTTTCATATCCCTTAAACCAGGCTAACACTTCCCTAGATAACAACAAGCCTTCCATTGAGACAGCAAGGCCTTGGGGGCGCCCTGATAAATTCTGTCCTACAGCTAGGGATCGCGTTCTTCCTAGGGTTCTCAGAAGTGATAGCAACCAACACCAGAGATCAGGGACCTATGCGCAGCTATAAGACCGTTTTCTGGTTCGAGCTAGCATGCGCTGGTGCGGCTCTGGTGCTTCTTGTTGGCTTCGTCAAGATCAGCAAAGCGTCAAGCGCAATGACTGCTGACGAGATCGAAGCTATGGTAAAACCTACCGACTTCCCGTTAACAAGAATGATTTCGCGGAGGTTGTCTATAACGCGGACGCTGTCTCAACGTTAGTTACGAGTTTGACGATCGTTTGAAGGTGGTTATGGCGCAGAAAAGGATGTTTCGAGTCCTTGATGACACTTAACGCACACAATGAGTCCTTCATTAGACGCTGGACATGTTGTGACGACTGCGATTTGATAGCTCGAGTGACAAGCTATTATTGTTGTTTCTTGCGCTGTCCTAAGGTTCGGTATGAGTAATGAAAACGGTTTCGTCAAATGTCTACAGGCTGCAGTTGATCACCCGGTAATTTTTTCCGTAGCATGCAGGTACAACCATTGAAAGACCAGCTGCATCCATTTCTGGTTTTTGGCTCTGTCGGCAAAACACGTCAGACGTTCGTGCCCGCATCATGGCGCATTGTCGCACTATCGCACCATCGCACCGTCGCACTGTTGGACTCGGAGCTGTGCACCTCTGCGCATCTTAGCGCAGCACTGTTAGCAATATATAAACATCAAAGTTTCTCCTAATGGCTATGGTCGTCGGCAAGAAGCTGTGTAAGGTTTGCTATTCCATTGACAGTAGAAGTTGCATTGCTCTACGACGGTGGAGGTCCGTTATTTGTTAGACTAGGAGTGCTGCTATAGCTGCTAGGCTCACGGATACTCTATAGTGATTGTCTAGAGATGGCTTCTAATAATAAATCATCGAAAATCTTATCTATAAACGCGAATGATTAGTCTAGACTTTACAAGAAGCGGTCTTACATACGGGAAAGACTAACCTTTAAGAGTGATAGAAGGCATGCTTAAAACAACTGCGGCAACGAAATAGAAGGTAAACACTTACGCTATAGCAAGCGTCTAACAAAGACATGAAACAGGTACTTAGATAATAGGTAAAGTCCTTATGCTAGAGGCACTCCCGGGCGAGCACTTAAGACCTTATAGGCGTTGTTGAATATAATCCTCTTGCCGGCCGGTTTAGCAACCTTGACGTGAGACATAGGCAGTAGAATTGTTGAGCGTGTTGAATGAAAAACTACAAGATAAGATAATCATGCAAGGTAAAGGCTTTATGTCCCGAAGGCGCTCCTAGGCACAACCTAAGATCTCTGCAGGCGTTGTCGGTTGCGTTGCTCTTGCTGGTTCAGCAACGTCTAGCGTGAGGTGTAGGATAAGAAAGCCCTTTCGTAAGCCGTAGTTTGGTTAATAGCTCGTTCGACTTGATCGGTAGAGCCGGCGCAAGCGTTCGTTCGTAGGTAAGAGGTTATCTAGAAATGCAGAAAAGCGGGTATGCTCTCGAGGCGTATTGTCTCTCATTCTACTATATAATATAGTACCCTTTCTATAATTGTAAGCGATCTTACCCTCAAGTAGGCCTTTAAGCCTAGACTGTAAGTTAGCTTACAGAACTCTAGCGTTAGGATTCCTAGAGCGAACGCTATAATTATAACGCGAGGCTAGTAGTATATAATAAGATATTATTACAAGATAATAAAAGTTACTAAAATGGTTAAGACTCTAATTAAGAAAGTAGAGAATAGTGCTAAGATATAGCTAATAAAGTAAGAGTTAATATCATGTAATAATAATTAGATAAGTTAAAAAGAATATAAAATTATTATTTAAATTAAGTATACTATTCTAGTAAGTAAAGATAGTATTATCTATATACTTAAGCCTATAGCTTATATTTCTATACCGTGATTCTCTTAATATAGACTCTCTTAGTGAAATTACCTATATCATATAATAATTTCTTTAGTATAGCTCTTTTTAGTGAAATTATCTATATTTTATTATATATATTTCTAGAAATATTTTCCTAGGAAAAGCCTAGAGTTATGATACTATATATTTATATAGATATCTTAAGAATACTATATAAGCTCTTTTTCTTTCTTATACCTAGATTGATAGCGCTCTTAAGTTTAGCTTAATTAAGAAAATAGTTAAGCACTTTGAACTAGCTCTTAGAAACTCGAACCTAAAGTTAATAGCTTAGGTAAAGATTAGTAAGCTCTACTAAAAGAATTACGACTTTATTACCTTTACTACTAAGATTTATACTATATTAATAATACTAGATATAGTAATAATACAAAGAAGCTAACCCTCTATATAAGTATATTAAATTAGGTTAGAAATACGCTTATAAGCTATAAAACTAAAAGCTTAAGCTATCTTAAGTTCTTCTATCTATACTAGCGTATTAATAGGTATCTCTTTACTATAGCTAAAACTACTAGAAGTATTCTCTTTTTTAAAAGTATATCTTTCTAACTCTACTTTCTATAACTAGTTGCTTACATTTAACTACTACTCTACCTATCACTTTATCTATAGTTTATACTATATAATACTTCTACCTCTTATAATATTCTTTAAGTAATTTAGTCTAGAAACTTATACTACTAATTTATAAAATTACATTATTAGTATTAAAACGAAACTAGTGGAAACTATTAAAAACAAAGCGCTTTGAAAGTTATAGTAATATTATAATAAAGTAAATAGACTTATATAGGTAAGTAATATCTCTTTATAAAACCTTTTAAGTCTTATTTTATCTTAGATAGAGCTTATACTATATATTATAAAGAATAATATTATAGATTTATAAATAGTAGATGCATTTTTATAAACCTTTACTTTTCTAGTATAGTAGAGTAGCTAGTAGAAGGTTTATATAGTATATAATCTAGCTAGGCTTAGTTCTCTTAGTTCTTTCTTTTCTTTATTAAAAGGTGCTTTTTAGTAGCATTAATTACCTAATATACTTATATGATAGTAACTTGTATAGGGATTCTCGAATAGAAATTAATTATTTTTACTAATATTAATTATCTTTCTTCTATACTTCTATTTACTATATATTGTATTTACTATTACTATTATCTGTATTAGATCTTTATAAACAAATGACCTTAACTAGTATTTATTATCTATACTTTATACTAGTAAAAGTATTTAAAGTATATTCTATTGCAGAACTTGAATAAGTTTAGAGTTAACTAAATTCAAAAAACTATACAACTTATAAGCTAAAATTATATACTTTAAGTTAACTAATAATATTTATATCTATAATATAGTAGCTAGAAACTCTATATATTATAATAATTTAGTGTATTAATTTTACTTTTTAAGATATTCAAATGTAGTAAGATACAAAGAGCTTTTTCTAAGAAACTATATTCTATAAAAAGAATAGTCTAGTTTTAGTTTCTATCTATATTAGTAAGTCTTTTTAGCGATTATAAGCGGTTATAAGCGCTATTTTAGCACTAGTAGTAGCTATAAGTATTTGAAACTATAGAATAATTCCACTTGCTTCTAAGCGGCTCTAGAGTAGCTTCTAAGCGCTATTCTAGTAGAATATAGTACTATAAGTATTTATAGTAATTATAGCGGTTATAGTACTGTTTAGTAACTAGCTTAGTAAGTAGTTTTATTAAGAAGAAAAGCTATAAGTCTGATTTAACTAGCATTCTATAGAAACATATAATAGAATCTTATTTTAAGAGTAGACTAATAAAAACAATACTTATTTATCACTTACTTTTCGAAACCATGGATATTATTCCTATTTTAGCTAGGGAAAAAAGATTAAACGAAAATCAGAACTCCTAAAATTATACATCTGATGTCTTATATATTTGTTTGCTAATCATCTTTTAGTTCTTGGCGCTCCGGGCGGGTTTGGCGGGTTTGGTGGTTTTAAGCGATTTTGGCCGATTGGATTTTCCCGAGCGGGTGAAAAATTTGCTGATGTACACTAGTATTATCCTTCTCACTACTGAAGCAACCCTTGGGTTTCCGATATCTCCGCTTCCACTCTTTAATATTCCAAGTCGGAAATCCCTCGTACAGATCAAACGCCTCCTATGTCCGATGACCGTGGTTTGCAAGGCCCCAGGGAGGAGCTAACTTTCAAATCATTCTGGAAGAAAGCTGCAAAGAGAGTCGCTGGCTCGACCTTAACCTTCAAACAGCACCAACCCGATCGCGGTGGACAACAGACATGTGAGCAATCCTTAAAAGTCAGGGCCGTCGATGATCGTGTGCTATTGCAACGCTCTATATTATCTGTCATATTCGAATTTGTCACTGATCCACAGAGCAGCACAGACTCCGGCCGGTGAGGGTACCAGCACTGGTTTGGAGATAGATCAAGATGCGCGCAACAAAGATAAGAGCAAGAGAGGCCAGCAGACCGCGCGAGCTCAGATGCGAGTCACTTGCCCATTCTTTATTGCGGTGCACCAGACATAGGGCAACGCTGACATATTCCATCAAAGACTACATCGTCGACGCAAAGAGGAATACGTCCAACATCTCGAGGAAGAGATAGCCCATCTACGACAGATGGATGTCGCTGCCCGTGAAGAGAAGACACGGCTGGAAGTTGAGAATGCCACAATCAGGCAAACGCTGGTCTCGCACCGAGTAGCTCTTTCCCCAAGCCAGACAGCCACTGAGGAGGTCGCCTTGTTCCAAGATCCAGCGATCGCCTCTGTTGGTTTCGATGACTATATCGGGCACGACCGTATCTTTGTCGTCGCGCCAGGCGCATCTGTCCAGCCAGCTTCTGATTTTACGAGCCAGCTCTCGCAGTTTCATACTGCCGCTCCGTCAACCTCCATCGCACCGCAAGTTCACATAGACGATCCCTTTAAGGTGCTTGACTTTATCCTCGCGTAAGTGTCTTTATCTGCCCTCGGTAATACCGCCCTGGCCCTTACGAAAATCGTAGTCTTGAACATCCGTGCAGAGATCATATCGAGCCGCTGAGCGCATTCCCGCATACCCACCTCGCTGATCCAAACGGTCACATGCTTACACTCTCTTCCCACGTCTACTCTCACGCCCCTCAAGAACACATTCCGCCCGAAAATCCATGGAACTTGCCATACGCCGAGATTGAGAAACTGGTCCAGTTCAGCGAGGCTTTGAATCTGCAGGACGAGATTACTCCTGTCCAGGCTTGGCAAAATCTCAAGAGCCATATAAAGTCAGAATTTTTGCATGATGCTGTCCTGAGGGAACTGAAGAGAGACCTAGCGCGTCTCGTCATTTGCTATGGGTACGCTGACCACAGCGATTACGAGGCATTGCTGACGATTTTCTCTAGGTTCGGCGCTGTGCTAAACGTGACGCAGTTCTGGGATTCCGTGAAGAGGGTTGTCGGAAGCCGTAATTTACGTCATGGTACCGAGTTACATCAATGACAAAGTGCGCCTTGATCGCTCGGCATCTGGATGATTTTGGGAACAAAGCTAGGCATTGCAGCTCATGGTCCGACAGCCGGTGTCAATACTATTCGGCTGAGATTCTTACGCTTACAGAAATGCCCATTTTCGGCCGTGTAATCTTGAATAAAAATCATGGACGAGGTGTTCAGGAAGTATCTATTTCCAAGGTTAGAAATCCAATCGGCTTTGAATGTGGCTTGCATAGCCCAATGTGGGCCCCGAGCCATCAGCGTCTCACGTTGTGTCTGGTACTTCCCTATGATGGCGCTCACCATGACCTAACGCACAACTTGAAGTGAAGCACTCGAAGCATCGACGCGTTCTTCAGGGAATGGCCCTTGTTTCTGCTGACTGCAGCAAGTCGAGTCAAATTCTTAGATCGCCGCTACGCTTAACCGACGGAAGCTAACCTTAAATAGGCAATTTTGATTTCTTAGAATCTTACTCAGCCATCTCTACAACACAGCCTATTCTAAATTAAAGCCTCCGTCTGATATTAACTTAGTGTCTTGGATCCTTATAATTCAGCCCCTTCGATTCCTGGCCTGTCGCGGAGGGATGTGGAATCATTATTGCCCTGGTTCTGGACCATAGATAAGCGGAGCCAATTGCGTTGCGGAGCATAATCTACGCTCTGCAAGAGCGAGACTTGGGTCTTGTTGATCCAGCGCAAATCACCAGAATAGTGTATTAATATGTGAGCTGCAAGGCTCCTCTGCGACAGCTGTCATGATCCGTTTCGGACAAACTGTAGCTGGCCAGACGCCGAACCCCAAGGCACGCTGATCCTTAGAAGACATGCTGGTCCTTAGCAATCGCGCAGGTCCTTAGCAATCACGCAGGTCCTTAGCAATCACCCTCTTTGGAACTCCCAGTATCTGAAATACCTTTCTGCATTGAACTATTAAGTGAGACTGATTTTCTATATTGTGGCTGTCATCAGCACCACTCTCTTCACTACACCGAAATTCCTCCACTCTTCTGCATCTTCTGTTCAGTTCGAACGCCTTTCCCTCGCCTCTTTGAGTATCCCACGACTCAATAATGGAAACACACTCATCTCAAGATGAGTCGATACCTGACATGGCTACGAAGCCGCCAACTTCCCAGATACTTTCACATAGTCTCTCGGCCTCAGATCCAGACAATCCAATGAACTGGCCGCTTCACCGTCGTACATATGCTTCTGCAGTATCATGGGCATTCGCGTTTGCAGTGTACAGTTGCTGTGCACGCACACCTACCAACGTCTGACTGACTATTGATGCAGCGCCTTTGGCCTCACTGCCTACACCGCCGGTATCAATGATGTCGTGGCAGAGTTCAATGTATCGACAAAGGTCGCTATTCTGGGCTTCTCGCTTTACCTCTGGGGTATCGCCTTCGCGCCGATCTACACGCCTCATGTCGCCGAGAGATACGGTCGCTCAGTCGTCTACTTTGCAAGTCTGTTCGTACACATGCTATTTATCCTTGGAGCGGGGTGGTCTCGGAGCTTTGCGAGTCTGGCAGTGTGCCGTTTCTTCGCTGGGCTCTCTGGTGGTCCTTGTCTCGTGCTCATTGAGGGGACGTTTGCCGACGTTTGGTCAGCGGGCACGACGAATACGTACTATGCGGTTCTGGGTCTGGCTTCCTACGTTGGAGCGGCTTGCGGTACGTCATAAACCTCACAATGCCAAAAACCAACCATTCTGACCTGTCTCCGCATACAGGACCTCTAATTGGCGGCTTTGTCGTGGGCGCGACCGGCTGGCGGTGGACCCAATGGGTCTCCTTAATGGTCTCGTTGGCAGCTTTCCTCCTCGGCATAGGTGTCCCTGAAACGTATCAGAGAGAGATCCCCAGACGAAGAGCTAAGCGGCTCGGTCGCGCTTATGCGGAAACACCTGCGCAAAGCGGCGTTACGATCTCGCAAATGGCTCGCATCACCGTCTTGTCGCCGCTCAAGATGCTTGTTACCGAGCCCGTCGTCATCATGTGCAGTCTCTATCTAGGTTTCAACTTCGCAATCATCTTCCAATGGTTCATCACGGTGCCAGCCGTGCTGAACTTGGTCTACGGCTTTACAATCCAGCAAGCCGGTCTCGCATTCATCGGCGCAATTGTCGGTTCCTTGTGCGCAGCCGCGATGTCCGTTGTCATCGAGCAGATCCTCTACCGCCTCCATGTTAGGAACAAGCTGCACATCAACTCCATGGACATCGAATACCGTCTGATCCCGGCTATGATCGGTGGCTTCGGCATCACCGCCTCGCTGTTCTGGATTGGTTGGACGGCGGAACCTACGATTGGCTGGCCCAGCCCTGTAATCGGTACCGCGGTGTACGTCTGGGGCAATTTGAGCGTGCTAATCTCCCTCGTTTCGTACCTCTTCGATGCTTATCCACCTGCTGGAACTCTCTCAGCACTTACTGCAGCCGCCAGCTTACGTCTGGTTCTTGCAGGCCTCATTCCATTAGTTATCCTACAAAGTTAGTTCGTCCTTTCCAATACCGTGATATCTGTGCTGACGTATTTGCAGTGTTTACAGGTTTGACCGGTGCGTGGGCGCTGAGTTTGTTTGGTTTCATCGCCGCTGCTATGCTGCCTATTCCATTCATACTCTTCAAATGGGGCCCGAAACTACGTGCTCGCAGCATGTATACTCACCGGCAGTCTACGATGGACGACCAGCACCATGAAGCGGAGCATACAATGGGCGAGCAGAACCGCATGAGTGTGTGATCGTCTAGTGGATGGAGCTAGGGCGTGGAGAGTGTGATAAGCGCTGCTATCTTTCATTTTTTGCCTCTGGAACGCTGTGGCTACCCTATTAAAGTTCTTCTAATGTTGTAGAGTGAGCATAATAATCTGAATTTCAGATAAATTAATTCTCTCGTTGTTTTTAGAAGTACACCTTACACCTCTAGCAGTGATACAAATCGTCCGACTAAAAATCGGTCGAAGCCGTCCGATTATTGACCGGGTCGTCGTGCCGGCTAGCAGCCGCGCTAAGCCCTTCCGGAGCTACTATCGGTTTCAAAAAGTGCAGCGGTTTGAAAATAAACTTTATCCACCCTCCCTCTAAGGCTCATTATTCCATTGAGCATGCGCAATGCTTTTACCTTAGTTAAATACTTTTAGATACCTTTCTTACGGCTATATCTATCTATATTAGTATTTATCTAGGTATAATTTACGAAATACGTAGTAGAAAAGCTTAAAGTATTATGAAAACTACTTATAGATACACCATATGCACGCCGCGTACGAGCTTTCAAGGAAAATAAAGTATACTATAGAATTATATATCTTAGTAGATTATTAGCTATATAGTATTACTACTCTTTATAATCTTTAGCTATCAGATAGCTATAGCTGAACTAAATCTTTTAATAGTATTTAGTTATATTCTAAGCGCTAGACTATTATATAGAATATAGTTTTAGTCTTTAATAATTAAGAGAGGAGGAATAAATAAAGTTTCTTTCTGAATAACTATACTTTTTGAAACTAATAGTATCTCTTAGAGGTATAGAATTTACTTACTACACTATTACACTAACTAGAAGATATAGTATCTAAGTTTAAAGAGCTTGAATCAAGCAAGTTACTATATAGTATAACACTACCGAATCGTAGTATTCTAGATCTTATTAACTAATTAGTTCACTTGTTATTCGCGGTGAAAGTATAGGTCTATATATTAATAAGTAGTTCTTTAAACATAAAGAAGCACTAAAGACTTAGAGCTTCTATCTATAAGATAGAATATTATAATAAGATAATTTAGGATACGATTATTAAGTTAAGATAAGTACTTACTATAAGAATTAATATATAAAATAACTAGTAAGCTAGTTATGCTAAGATCCGCAGAAATAACTTACTATATTATATACTATTTAAGGAAAAGTCAGCTAAACTACGTCTATTTCCAAGGATTTCAATCTTAGTAAGTGTTTTTCTTAATATTTCACGTAGTATTTCGCTTTAATATCTAGAGTATTCCTATAATCTTATTAAAATAATGCTTTTCTATTCTTCTAGAGTATCTTATACTCCTCTATATAAAGTAATACCTTTATACTATAAATTAAATAATTTGTTATTCTAGTAATTATATAACAGCAGTTACTATAAAATAACTAAAGTTATTATAATAGTTAGAGTTCTGATTAAAGAGATAGAGAATGGGGTTAAAATATAGAAAAATTAGATTAATATTACTAAGTGATAATTAGATAAGTTATAAGAATATTAGATTCTTATTTTAAGTTAAGTATAATGTTTCTATAAGAGAAACATTATTATCTATATACTAGACTATACTTATAGTCTATATTATCTATAGTATCTGTAGTTCTAATAGATAATAAAGATAATTAGATAGTATCTATATTATCTATATTGTTTGCATTCTCTATAGATAGTGGGAATAATATAGATAGCCTCAGTAACCCTACTTAGCGCAGTTCTACTATAGCGCTAGCCTTAAATTATAATATTAGGGTTCTTATACGCTTAAATTATTTCTTTTACTTACTATAGTAACTATCTATATAGCTCTTTAGAACGCTATGTAGCTAAATATACTATAAGTTATAATCTTTTATCTAAATAAGGCGCTTTACTTGTAATTTACTTACACTTACACTAGGGTCTTAGATTTATTAAAGCTTATACCTAGTAATATTAATATAGTAGTAGAAAATTATAAGAAAGATTACTAGTATCTTGGATGTATTTCTAGTAGTTATAGCTAATATAAATCTAGAGTATAACTAAAATAATCTACTTATTCTACTCTATTAAATACTAGTAGTTTAAAAATAGGCTTAGATAATTCTAGAAGAATAGACTACTACAAGATATAGCTACTAAAGCTCTATAAGTGTCTAATTACTATTAGAGAAATTAAGATTTCTAGTATCTTTATCTAGCCTATTAGTTTTACTAATACTTATTAAGCAGTCTATTAAAAGAGTTTTTACAGAAGTAGACTACCTAGTTCTATTATTTATAGTAAAGCTCTAGCTTAGTAACTTACTCTAGCTAGTTTACACTATTAATACACTATATTAATTAGTAGAAGCTCTTCTATAGATATTAAGTAGTTTATCTCTAGTTCATTTATAAATACTCTTTTAGCTAGTGTATTTAACTATACTACTAAGTCGTTAACTTATAATCTTAATATAGTAGTTAAGACTAGTCTAGTAGCTATAAATAATAAAGAAGAAAAGAAAGAAAAAGATCTAGCTAACTACAGAAAAAAAGATTTAGAATATAAAGACTTACTAACTATAAATAATACTAAAGCTTTAAGAGTTTTATAATACTAAGTTAGCTCTTATAGCTAGCTAGCTTAGCTTAGCCTTAGGGAAGTACCGCTTTTCTATTAATAAGAGAAAGAAACTACTTTACTACACTTATATAGCTACTTTTACTGGTAAGATGTCACGAACCGCGACAGATGACGCGGAACAAGAAGTGATTAGTGCCAAGCGTCACGTGAAGGACTGATCACTTAGGAGGCTAAGGACGGCCTAATCGGTGTGATTAGTGTGATTAGAGACGGATTACACTAATTAAGGGGATCACGGCGCAAGGCATTGCAGTATATAGGCAGCACCATTCTCGTTCATTAGGACGGTGTGCTCAACTCAAATAAGAATCCAGCATTCTTTATAACTTAATCTAATCTCACTACGTGATCTTAATCCTCACCTTGTTAACCATATCTTAGCACTATTCCCTACCTCCTTAATTAGGACCCCAACCATCACAGTAACCTTTATTATCTTATGATAGCACCTCGTTACACTTTAAGCACCACCTTCGTGGAACACCCAAGATCAACACGCTAATATGTCAACTATAGGATCAACCGCCGGACCATCAAGGGGGCAGGCACCGCCGCCACCCCTAGCACCGAAACCAATTAAGGTCAAGGTACTGGATGAGTATAGTAGAGAGCGTAATAAACTCGACTCATAGCTACTTCAATGCGACTTATATATATAGCACAACTAGGACCGTTTCTAGAAAGAAAATGAAGTGATGTTCGTTGTCACCTATCTAAGGGGACGAGCATTTAAATGGATCCAGCCCCATCTTAAGGACTTCCTTAAGAATGATGAACGCAACTAGTTCTAGGAAATAACGGAACTGTTCGCCAATATGCTCTCGTTCAAAGCAAAGATACGACGAGTATTCGGAGACATCGACCCGGCTTATACTACGGAGAGAGAACTAATAAACTTGACCCAGAAGGGGTCAGCAGCCAATTACGCTGCCTAGTTCTAATTAGTAGCGTCTAACACCTCATGGGATGAGACGGCTTTAACCGCGCAGTACTACCGAGGATTAAAAGAGAACATCAAGGACGACTTAGTCAGAGGCGACCGACTAGATCGTTTACAGGAAATGATTTTAACGTCAATCAGGATTGACAATCGACTGTATAAACGAAGGTTGGAAAAGAAAGGCTATAACGCGCTAGTAGTGGTAGGACGCAAACCAAGTAACCCTACTTAGTATAACCAAGATCCGTATAAGCTTAGGCCTATGGAACTTAACGCAACAGAAAGACGTCCGGGACGCTTTCCTAAGAGAAGATTATAGGGAGAACGCAGAACGCCCTCGCGAGGATAAGGATTGTCCTTAGGATAAAGAAAGTCTTTTACAGGAAAATGCTTCAACTGCGATCGCACAGGACATATCGCTCAAGACTATAGGCAGCCAAAGAAAACCCAATCGCTAGTAAAGACGAATGGCCTAAAGAAGCAAGGCAAGTTAGCTGCCACTATAACTTACTATAGGGCTATATCCTAGACTGCATGCTACAACAACAGGTGTCAGACACACCTAAGCGACAAGAACAGATCGGGTTAGTTTCCGAAACCACCCAGATCGGGACAAGCATTGCAAGTCACTAAGAAGGAACCCAGCTGGAGGACGGCTACGTTCTAGAGGTTATAGGCCGAGGTCCTGGTTACACCCACCACGGTACTATACACCCTCTCGGAGGAAGAGGTAGTACCGTTAGAAGAAGAATCGTCGGAAAGCGAAAAAGACTCCGACATCTCAAACCTAGTCTTAGATAAAGAACCAGAAATAAGGGTACCATTATAAAATCTCATCACGGGCGGATACCCACCCGAGGTATAGAACTAAGCGTACCACGACGTATGCGAACTCATAGAGGCCTAAGCGGGACAATTAGAGTTTAAAGAAAACCTTAAGAAGATTAAAATAAGGTTAACCGCCTACAAAGTACAGTAGAGATCCGCTATTAGTTTTAGCGAACTATATAAAGAAGTCTACGACCTTATCCTAGGACGACTAGTCGTAGCTATAGAGCGTGTGCGTTAGCTAGGGTAGATACTAGATAGCATGCCCCGCCTAGGACATGAATATTACGATATAGTGCGAGAACACCCGCCTATAGAAGCAAGATTCACTAGGGATAGAGGATATATCACCCCTAAGAGAGGTTACATTTCTAGGGAACTCTAATAGAAAGTCACAGTATTACGACAGGAATTCATAGCTAGGGATCCATGAGTGAATTCGGGACGCCGGGTCGATCCAAGTAAATTCTAATATAATAGAATAGAGACTCCTACTAAGGAAGAGAGTTTAGGGAGCTCTAACTCGGAAAGCTCTAATTTAAAAAACCAGAAGGCCTTCCGGCTAGAGGGTCGATAGAAGCGCCTACCGAAAGACTTTCGAATAGGTGT